ACAGCACCAAGGCATAGGTAAGGGGGCTAGCTGCCCTTTGAGACATGGCCTCCCCTGCTCAGACCCAAACAGGGGACTCCCATGTACCAGTGAGTGTAGGCCGCAGCTGCAGACCAGTGAGACCAGTACAGGCTGGCTCAGCCTGGCCCTGACCCAGGTGTGGCGAAGGAGGCCACACGTCAGGAAGGCTGGGAGAGGGGCCAGGCCAGCTAAGGACACTGAGTGGTTATAGGGCAAGGCCACGGGGTGCAAAGAAGTGGTGAGCCCAGGGGCCAGGAGCTGTCTGGGTGGAGAGCCATGGCTGGACTCATCCCTGGCTGGCTCCCAGGCCCAGGCCCTTGCGGGGCGGAGAGCATTGGGCACTGTATTAATGCCTGTCTGAGGCTGCCTACCTTCACTCTACTCAAGCTGGCTGCTGTCAGGGCAGGAGAAGCGTAGTGTGCAGCAAACCCTCAGTCTCCAGGGTCTCCAGAACTGAGCAGTGACCCATAACAGAGACAGGACCTGGTGGCAGGGCCTAGGGAGGTCTTAGCACCCCCAATGCCTGGCTTCCCTTCCCTTTCCAGAGGAAGCTGGGTTTGAGGTGGACCATGAGGGTGAGGAGATAGGGAGCCATTTCCTGAGAAAAGCCCAGGCTGTCTCAGCCCAGGGAGGACAGTCTGAGTTGTTCCATTGGGGGGTGGGGAGGATGATGGAAATGGGGGTCATGGCAGGGCTTGGGAACTAGGGACTGGTTAAGTTGGGCCCAGGGGTACAGCACCCTCCAGACTGGTGTCGGAGCCTGCAGACGAGTCCCGGGAGGAGCGGCCCTGCAGGAAGCGGATGATCTTCTCAATGGTGGCCTCCTGGTACTCATGGGACCACCTGTGGGCACAGAGGGCGGTGGGTCAGCAGGCTGGGCAGAGGGAACTGCCACTGGGGGCATGCGTAACCCACCCCACCCCTCCTCACTTGATGCCGTTGAAGCTGAGCACAGCCTGCATGTCCTCAGGCAGGGCCTGGGGCTCTGGCCACTCGAAGCCATCAATGACAGGCACGATGTTCTTGCCACAGCTCAAAGCAGTCACAATCTCCTGGAGAGAGAAGAGAAGGGAAGAGGAAGAGACCCCGGGTCCCATCCAGGGACCTGGGGCCAGGCAGGCACTGGGAGAGCCAGTAGCCCAAGGCTGAGCCCAAGAGCCCAAGGTGAGATACTGGCCTTGAAGTCCACCTTGATGTCTCCCTCACCTGCTGTGGTTTTATCTATCTATCTATCTATCTATCTATCTATCTATCTATCTATCTATACTATCTATATTTGGTCTTTGTTCCAGGTTCTTGGCACCAAGCTCCTAAAACCCTCAGAATCTCAGATGACCTGGGAGGTAGGAGGCTCTGCCTAGGTAGCTTCAGGATGGGGGCTGGTGGCCAGAAAGACTAAGCTATGCTTAGAGGGTTGGAACTTTCAGCACTCCTGGCCCCCCTGCCCCCGACACTTCCAGGGAGGGGAGAGGGGCTGGAGATTGAGTCCAGTCACCAGTGGCCGATGTTAATCATCACGTAGACTTAATCAGCCTACATGATGAAACTTCCATAAAACCCCTAAGGATTGGGTGGGTTGGTGAACACATCTAGATGCTGGGAGGGTGGCCCAGAGAGGCATGGAAGCTCTGTGCCCCCCTGCCCATGCTCCCACTCCCCATACCTTACCCTATGCATCTCTTCCACTTGGATGTTCCTGAGTTGTATCCTTTATAATAAGCCCAAGAATAGTTAAGTGCTTTCCTGAATTCTGCACGTCATTCTAGCAAATTATTGAACCTGAGGGGGGAGGTCATGGGGACTCATGAATTTGTAGCCAAGGCAGTCAGAAGTGCACGTGGCCTGGGACTTATGGCTGGGTCTGTGGTGAGGGCTGACTTCTGGGACTGAGCCCTTAAACTGTAGAGTCTGACATCCGCTCCAGGTAGTAGTTAGTGTCAGAACTGAACTGAATTGTGGGCCAGCCAGTTGGTGCTGGTGAAATGGAGAATTGATTGTTGGTGTGTGAAAAACTCCACACAAATTGGTGTCAGAAGGAAAACATCACACCTCCTGCATCCAAATTGATCCATGAGGAGCCCTGCCAGTTGTCATCCTTACTTATTTCTCAAATCCACCCATTTTTCTCTCCTCCACCTGCTACCACTGCCCTGCTCCAACCCTGTATTACCATTACTCCCCATCCAGTCTCTTCTCATCCATTCTTGCCCCGTGGAATTCATTCTTCACATTGCCCTTTCACCTAGCTACTCTTTGCAAAATGCAAATCTGATCATGTCATCCCCTACTTAAAACTCTTCATGACTTTATATGGCTCTTAGAATAATATTCAAAGCTTTATGTGGTTGGCCACAGCTCACTTCTCAAACTCTACCCCATCAAGTTCCCCCAGCCCTAGATTTGCCATCCCCCCCCCCGGCACAGGGCATTTGCACATGCTGTCTCCTATGTCTAGAATACTTTTCCCTGCCCTTTCACATAGCTAATGCCAACTCATTTTTCTCATCTGAACTCAATCAGCCTTCCCAGGGAAGTCTTCCTTCACTTCTCTGACCAGTTCAGATCCCCTATTTTAGGCTTTCATAGACTTCGCAGCACCTACAGTTGCAAATTTAAATTAACTAATGAGTAATTTACTTAATACCTGTCTTCCGTACATAAGACATAAGGACGGGTCCATGTCTGGTTTTCACTCACCTTGTGTCTCAGGATCTTGCACAAAGCCCTGCCCATAGCCAGCCTTTGCTAAATACTTGATGGCTAACTGGCTGAATGAAAGAATGAGACAACATTGCATAGCAGTTAAGGGTTGTACTCTGGAATCATCAGATTTGGGTTCATATTGAGTCTCTGACACAGGCTCTGTCACGTGAGGCAAAAACAACATCTCTAATTTCTAAAAATAGGGTTAATGATAGTCCCTATCTGGTAGGATTGTTGGGAGGCATAACTGTGATAACCCATTGCAAGTGATTAGAATAGCACCTAGCAAGTAGTGTATGTTTAATAAGTAACAAGTAATTATTTCCTCCTTTGTAAAGTGGGGACAATAAAGCTTACCTCATCAGGTTGTTGTGAGGCTACGACTATTAATGGGTGCTCTGGTAAGTGCTTATTGAATATTTTTTTTTCCTTTCAAGGGGGAGCCACAGGGATTAGGCTTTTTGAGTGCAGTTCACTTGTGGTTTTCCATATTGATTACCCACTAAATGTGGCTTTGGGGAAAGCAGTTTTAAAACCAGAGGCAATTAAGCACTAAAAACAACCAAGGAGGGATAATGGAGCCTTTGGGACTGGTCCAAGGCAAAGGCTCTCACCACCCCTCATGCTCCTCCCTCCTTGCAGTCTGCTGGGCCAGTGATGGATGCCACACACCCTTGTGGAGCAGAGCCTTCCTGGGGAAGGAACCTGCATAACTTCAATCCTGATTGATTTCCTCTCCATTTTATGACTGAGAAGAAGGAAGCCCAGCGAAGGGAAGGGACTTGCTCCCAAGTCACATACATGCCTAGCCCAGGAGGGGCCAGGCCTCTGACTCAAGCATTCAGATTCCAAGTTTCAGGCTGTTTCAACCAAGCCCTCTGCCTCTCTTCTGAGCACTTGAATGAATTCTGACCTTGCAGCAATTTATTTGGGAACCTTTAGACATTTGTTTTATCCAGAATTACACAGTAAAGTTAGAAGATGTGTATGGTTCTCCTAGTCATCTCAGCTTCATCAGTATCACTCATCTGGTTAATCATTGATTTAATTATTCTATAAACTCTTCAAGAGCCTACTTTGTACTATGCATGGTTTTAGGCATCAGGGATCCAGCATGAATAAGGCAAGGTCTGAGATCTTATGGAGCTCACAGACATTCCTCTCTTTTTCTCAGAAGGTCACCAGCCATCTGCTCTAGGCCATCAGTCATGATCCTCCAGGATGTCTCTCTGACCCAGCACCTCCTCCCCAAACCAAACCCAAAACTCAGCCTCTCCTACATGGCCTCTGGGGCCTGATCCTCTTCCCCACTGTCAATATGGGCTGCATCCTTTGTCAGAGCCTACTCCTTAAAACCCACTGGCCTGGCATCACTGCCCTCATGGGATCCCTTTCTCCAGTGCTTTAAGCACAGGTCTTCTCTCTGCCTTTAGGAACCCCATAACCTGGTTCCTTAGTTCTTATCTAGCCAGTGGTGTGCTGATACATGTTTAACAAGTAACTCTCCAGAGGGGGAAAAAAAAACCAAACAAACAAATAAAACCCTAATTTGTAGTTTTTACCAATTTCCTTAGTGTAACTACTCCCAGCATGGCTGACTTCAGGCTACTGACATGATGTCACTGAACTTGGAGTTGGAAAGAGAGATGATTACTCTGGTGTCAGCTGAATCCAGTCCTATCCCACCACCTACCCCACCCCCCCACCCCTCAGATTTGAGCCATAGGACAAAGTTGGATCCTAAGAAAGAGCACGGGCTTTGAAGTCAGATAGACAAGAGTTCAAAGCCCGGCTCCGACTTCTATACCAGCAGTGTGGCCATGGGAAAAAGTATTCTACTTCTCTGAGTGTCAGTTTCTTCATCTGTAAAATGGAGAGGCCAATACCAGTAATAATGTAGGTTTTTGTATCTTTCTCATCCCTACTTTTGTTCTTTGCTCACGCTGTTCCCCTGCCTGGGATACCTTCTCTTCCACTGATCTAAATTCTTGAGACTCTTCTTAGGTCCTGCTTCCTCCATGAAGCCTCCCCTGATTATTCCAGCCCTCGATGCTTTCTCCTTTCTCCATATTCTTACGGCAAGTAAGAGGTTGGCCTACCTGGCTTTACATTGACATTAATTTCCATATGATCTGGTCACTCTGGGCATATTCTTGTCTTTAGGACAAGGGCCCTATACATATGACTACTGCTTCCTTTAGCCCTGGCCCCAGGTCCTGCTCGCTGATTAATGATTAATGACTAATAACCAGCAGATGTGACATGGATCCATCCATCTATCCATCCATCCTACAAGTATTCAATTAGTTTCTACTATGTGTTAGGCACTGAGGATACAATGGGGAATTAAACAATGCTAGTACTCATAATAATTGTACTACTACTACTAATTACAGCCATTATAGAGCAGTTACATGCCAGGCATTCTGCTAAGCACTTTACAAATTTTAGCTCTTTTAATCCTTATAACAATATCCTAGGGAGTTAGGTACTATAATTATTCTACTTTCCAGTGATAAACATGAAGCTCATTAGGGTTAAATAACTTGCCCAAAGCCAGAGCTAGGATTCAAACTCTTAGCTTTGTGCTCTTAACAATGCCATTGTGCCTGTCACTATGCTCTCCTGCCCCCTTCCCTCACAGAAGTTATTTTTCAAAGCATTTTCATCCCTCTCTGGACCCTGACAACAATCCTACAAAATAAAAGCCAGGCAAGTTATCCCCATTTTGTAGATGAGAAAACTAAGGCTCAGAGAGCCTAAGTAAGTGGCTAAAGTCCTGTTACAGTCAGAGCTGTGGCTCCTAACTTCCAGTGGAGCCATGGAGGTTGCTGGTGTTCAGATGAGAAAGAATGGGACGAGGACCTTGTCCCCTGGGCCACAGGCCAATGCTGGGACCACAGAGGCCAGCACTTACCTTATGCACCCAGTCCTTGCAGTCATGGTCCTGCATGCACTTGTCCAGGGCCCCAGCTGACAAAACCAGCACAAAGTTGCGGGCATCCGTGACACTCTTGATGAGCTTGTCTTCAAACTTGCCCGCTTCCAGCTTCTCCACATCAATGAAGACACTGAAGCCGTGTAGCTGCAGGTGCACCTTCAGGAGGCTGCAAAAAGGTCTTATGTCACTGCCATGGCCTACGCCCCAAGGTCCCAGGCTGCCTGCCTGCCTGCCTGCCTCTCCTCACCTGGCCAGCTGGGAGCCCGAGTTACGGCGGTAGCTGATGAAGACATCTGGAGTGTCCCCGCTGGGCTTGCAGCCCGTGCAGGGCAGTGGGGAGTGTAGCATTTCTGAAGCAGATAAAAGACAGCCTGGTGAGGGTGGCTCCCCATCATTCACCACGAGGTACATCATCCCCTACACACTCAGCCCCCTAAGCCCGGCTCAGCCCGGGCGGCTTGCTCCAAAAAGGTGGAGGCGGTGAGATGACACCTACTGGAAGGCAGGATGCTAACCAGGGGTGAGGCTCTCTCAGAAAGCAGACATCATGTTTTAGGGACATTGATATGCACCTCCGGCTCTGCCCTCTGTCTAGAGCTGTCAGCAGCCTGCAGGCACTCCAAATCCAACACATCCCGAATCCTCCTCTGACCCTCTTCTTCCTAGTCTCCTACCAAACCCAGAAACCTGGCTATCAGCCTCAACTCCTGCCTCTCATTCATTCCTTCAACAAATATTTACCAAGCGCTTTGTGTGTATGAGGCACTATTCTTAGTGCTTGGGATACAGCAATGAACAAAACAAACCCTGCCCTCATGGAGCTGGCACTCAGTGTTCAGAGCCAGGCATCATGCTTTGTGGCTTCTGCCTTCTAACATCCTGGACTCCAGCCCCAGGGCCCTCCCTGTGTCCAGGCCCCCAAATCCAGCCTCTTCAGTGGTCTCCCTAAATCCACACTTGCCCAGTCTAATCTGTTTGCCATAGCCACCAGGGAGATCTTCCTAAAATCCAAATCTGAGCGTGTCATTGCCCCCACTTAAAAACCTCTGCATGTCTCCCTACTCCCTACAAAAGGGAGTTATAAGCTATTTTTTGCTGTAGACCCTCTCATTCTAAAAAAATAAATCTTAGGGGTTTACTGGGAACCACACTGGAAAAATGATAGAAGCTGGTCTGCTTTGGCTGAAGCAAAAAGAATGGGGCCAAAGCCCAGTCCCCTGCCCCTTATGGGAGCTTAATACATACTTACTGAGTGAGATGAATGAAAAGAACCCAACATCTTATAATATTCAGATTTAACACAGAAAACTTCTGTCTGTTTACAAAGAAAGGCAGAAGTTCAAGTCAGAGTTGTGTCATTTAATAACTCATAACCTTGGGAAATGTATTTAAAGTATTTAAATTTGAGTTTCATCATCTTTAAAATGAACACCCATGATGGAAATGTTCTTTATCTTTGATTATGAGGGTGGTTACACAGGGGTATACATTCAAAACTGTCCATACTGGACACTTTTAAGTTAAATTATATCTCTTTTATTCTTTAAAAAGTTAAAAAAAATTAATGCCCATTGCATAGGATGTATGTAGAGATTAATGAGGTAATATCTGTTAAAAAAATTACACAGGACCTGGCCTAGAGTAATTAATGATAAATATTAGCTACGTAGTAAATTAAAATAAATTAATAAAGAGGGCTGCTAGAACCTGAGAATCCACTCTGCTCTCACGACCTCCCTAAAGCACCCACACTTTGTAGGCTGTTGATTAACAGGATAAGCCCCTAGTCTTCCCACCCACATTCACTCTGTGCACCCCCCATGCTGTCTTACCTCCTTACTTGTATATATTGCTCCTTCTGCCTGGGTTGCCCTTTCCTTCTGCCACCACTCTTTCCCCCACCCCGAAATACATCCTTCCAGACCTAGTCAGGTATCCTCTCCTCTCCAAAACCTAGGTCTGGGCAGACGAGATAGGTGGTGCTTCCTCTGGACTCCCACTGGAGTCCTGGGCATGCTACCTGCTGGGGTCACCTGCCTGTGTATTCTCCCACCCTCCTACCCACCTCAGACTGGGAACTCCTTGAGGGCAAAGTGCAAAATATTCGTCTTCCCATTCTCAGAGCCCAGTCTGGCACAGCCAACGTGCTCAATCAATCCGCAGTGGGGCTCGGAGGCTCCCCTCACCCCTCCAGGGCTGGGGCTGGGGCTGGGGCATGGGTGGGAGCAGCTGACCTCTGGCAGCCGTGAGGATGCGGGCGCGGTGCACGCCCAGGCGGATGCCACAGTCCTCCAGGAGCTGCTGCTCAGACACGCGGTGCAGCAGGGAACGGTCTAGGCCACAGCTGACCAGGCCGTATGTGTACTGGCGGAAGCGCGGGTCCAGGCTGCCCAGCCAGTCAGCCAGGTTGCTGCGGTCGCACGTAGCGTAGTTGGCGAAGGTCTTAAGCTCCGTGAGCTCCCTGAAGAATCTGCACCGGAGGGAGGAGAGGAAGCTGAGGTCTTGATTGGAGACTGGCTAGAGGCAGAGGGGGCGTTTAGTTAGACCTGCCAAGGGGGATGTGCTGGCTAGAGGCTCTATACCTCTTTCGGGTGATGCCCGACTTCATGCCCAAGTCGGTCTGGAGTTCCTCCTCCGTAAGCCGCAGAAGCAGGTCTCCATCTACCTGCTGCTCCTGGAGGAGGGGTCAGATGTAAGGAAAGGCTCCCCTCCTCATCATTTGGACCCCACCCAACACAATGTCAAGGGCAGGGACCTAGAGATGGCGGTGGGGAGGAGAATGGGACCCAGATGAGAACCAACTGACTCGGAAAGTGGCCGAGTACAAGCTCCCCACCCCTAAAAGGCCACCCTAGTGCCGCAGGCGTGAGGTCCCGGATGGAGATTGGTCGCCTGTGTACAGGGCGCCCCTAGCGGCCGCGCGGCACTCAGGCAAGCACCCGCTTCCCGACCGCTGTCCCGCGATTCTGCGCGGCTCTACCCGGAAGCTCTCGCAGTACTGGGAGAAGCCGATCTGCTGCAGCCACGTCTGGACCTCGGCCTCCTTCCAGCTGGCCACGCAGGGCAGGATGGGCCGCGGCACCTCCTCGCCCAAAAGGCGCAGCGCGCGCTTGGCCAGCGCCGACGTCGTGCCATTAGTGGAGTAGGAGACGAGGCGTTTCAGGCTTTGGATGGCACCTATGTCGCTGAATACCTGGCGAAGTATGGGGAGAGGGTGTCTTGGATCCACCAGTTGCCCTAGACGTGCCTGGTCCCTCCCCGCGCCTCTTTTCACCGCTGAGAGCCCTACCACCTACCCTAGGTCTCCCTTCATCACCTAAATCACCAAGTCCTGTGGATTCCTCCTCCTGACTTCCCTCAACTCTTGACCAGGTAAGTCCCTCCCATATCTCCTCCCCTCTACAGCTTCCATCTGCTGTGGGATAAAGTCTAGTTCTCAGTATGGCTGCCAGGCCTGGCACAGTGCAGTCCCTCCCACCACTCTCAGCTCTCCACCTCTTTCACCAAGCCACACTCCTCTGACACCCACCCACAGAGGCTCTCCCACCTCTGGGCTTCAGCCTGTGGTGTTTCCAGACACTTAGTTCTTCCAGCCTGCTTGTGGGAATCCTACTCATCTTTTGAATCCAAATTGATTGGAACCTCCTCCACGCAGCCTGCTTTGATTTATCCACAGTTTGGCCCATACCTCCAATTACGCCTTGTACCGCACTCTCAATGCCACTGTCATTAATTGACAATGCAGCTTCCACTAGACTGAAAGCTGAAGTCATGTCTTAGTCACCCCTGGAGTTCCATAACAGGCACACTGCAGGGCACAGAGTCAGGGCTCCATTTGTCTTTTCTTAACTGCACTCACTTGGCCTTGCTGGGAAAGGAGTGCCAGAGCTGGTGGTCATGGCTGCTGCCCAGACCCACTCCTTAGGGTCCTTACTCCCTACTTCCCTTTAAGTCCTTCTCCCAAAACAGAATGACCTGCTTTGCAAAGTCAGTCCTCTCATGGCCCAATTCTGGGGTGCAGAAAGGAAAATCAGAAGCTCCTAAAGCATTGGACCTCAGAAGAGGCCTCAGAGATCTCCCTGGCGCATCAGTCTCTTCTTGATCTATGGGGATACACATGATGGGTGACAGTCACCTGTGAGACACACTCCTCTGAGCAGCCCCAGATGACCACTGTCATACAGACAGGGTGGTCCATGCAGCATGCCCCATTCCCTGTGCACCAGTGGTCACTAACCTCCCAAACCCCTAGAGGGATGCAAAGGAGGGAGAGTGACATTATAGGATAATTAATTCTGTAATATTTTAAAAACAAAACCTGAAAACTTTTGACAATTTAACTATTACTATTCCCACATCCAGGATAAGAATCACTGCTACAGTCCACTCCTTCAATTATGGTCCACTTCTTCAATTTTCCAGAGGACAAAAATGAGGCATATAAAGGCCCAGAGAGGGGAAGCCAGGTACCTAAGGTCACATAGCAAGTTAAAGCAGAGGGGAAAGGCTGCAGATCAGGCCCTGAGACTGGGGACCTCTTGGGACTTGGGTGGGAGTTATCTGACTGACAAACAGATGTCCTGCCTCTGTTTACTCCATCTCCTTCCTGGAATCCAGACCCAAATGACAAAAAGGTCCACTGGAGGGCCCCAACTGGTCATCTCTCAGGCACTTCAAACTCCATCTGTCCCCATGAACTCACTCTGTGCCCCACCCATTTCACACAGTTCACCTTAGTTCAGTACCAGGTGCCACCACCCACTGGGTTCCTATGTTCAAAGCCAGATGCCATCCTCGGCTCCTCCCTCCCCTTCATCCAGTCACCCACCAAGTCCTAATTCTGCCTCTTCAGCACCTCTGGAATGTGTCTGCTTCTCTGTGCTTCTGCTGTCATGCCCAGGTCCCAACCTTCACTATCCCAACTGCCCCCTGCCATGGCCTTCTGTCTGGTCCCTTTGCCTCCAGACACACCCTTGCCAACCTCATCTCCATGCAGCAGCCAGGGTGACTTTGTAAAACACAGGTGTTCCCCGAGTAAAACCTTGATCTTGCCTTCAAGGCCAAAATGACTGGCCCTCACCTTCCTCCTCACTTCACCTAACTCATGCATACTTCAAGTCTCAGGTGAATGGCATTTTCTCTGGGAAGCCTTCCCAGATGCTCTCTAACCCCCACCCCACCCTACTCCACACAAGCCCCACACCTGCACCCACCTTGGTCTTGCCCTGCAGACTCTTGATGGCAGCCTCGGCACAGAGATAGAAAGCCCCGATGCACTGAGCCTCCAAGCGCGACGAGTCGAGCAGTGGCACGAGGCGCTGCAGGTCGTCTGGCCCGCGGCCCTGGCTGGTGTCGCTGGCATCCACCAGGCAGCGGGCGAAGCGGCCGGGGTCCAGCGAGGCCACGAGCGGCTCCACGAGGGCCAGCGTGCCGGAGCGCTCCACCTCGCGCTCCACCTCCTTGTTGGTGGCCAGCACCGCCACGGCGAGGCAGGCGTGCAGTCGCAGCAGCTCGTCCTCCTTGGAGAAGGCGAGTGGGAAGAGCCACTCGGCGGCGCGCTTCTCTACCATGCGCCGCTGCACCGCCTGGCCCCCGTGCAGCGCACAGTTGGCTAGCGCCAGCGCACAGTGGCGGAGCAGCGCCGGGTCCGTGCGGCGGCACCAGTAGAGCACCGCGTCCAGGCCGCCGGCTGCCACCAGCCGCTGGCACGTCTCCTCCGAGTGCTTGAACATGTGCTCCAAGATGCCTGCCACGCTCCGAGCCAGCTCCACTGGCTCGCGCTCCTTTGCCAGGTTCAGGATCACGCCTAGCCCGATGCGCGCCACGCGGTCCCTGCCAAGACGCTTATCTTAGCCTCCTAGGAGCAATGGCCTCATCACTCATCCTCTCTGGGCCTTGCTAGTGTCATATAATGTCATGAGTCTGGTCCCCTCCTCCCTCACCTCCTGCCCTGGGAGAACCAGACTTCTCTGCTTATAAGGGTACTCCATCCTGGCCACACTCATTTCCACTCTTGACACCCATCCCTGGAGGAGCAGTATATGTAGTGGCTAAGAATTCTACCTCTAGAGCAGATTCCCTGGGTCCTGGTTTCTTCTCTACCATTTTCTAGCTGTGAGATCTTGGATACCTTTATCTTTCTTGGTTTCCTCATCTCGTAAATAGGATAAAAAGAATACCTACCCCATAGGGTTATTATGAAGTTTATAATCCATGTAAAGTGCTTGGCACAGTGCCTGGCACATAAAAAAGACTCAATAAATGTCAGCTTTTCATCTCTGAAGTGCCACTTGAAGTACACCACTCTTGGCCTTGCCTTCAGACTTCTCTTCACTCCATGTAGTGTTATTGGAGTGTATTTGTCCATTCATTTAAGAGGTCATTTATTGAGGGCCTACTGTGTGCCAGGCACTGTGGTAGAGGCTGAAGTTAAACAGTGACTAAGAGTGACTGGAGCTCATACACAGCTAACATAGAGCAAGTAAATGATGAATGGATAGGATAATAGTTATATGACCATAATGATAGTAAAACCAGGTGATGTAATGGAGAGAGCCTGGATGGAGGGATATGTCTGAGGAGGTGATGTCTGAGAGTTAAACATCCAGAGACCCCTGCCTGCAAGTATCTGGAAAAAGAGCACAACAGGCAGAGAGAAAAAGGACAAACGCCCCGAGGGCTGATGAGCTTGGCATGTTTGGGGAAGAGAAAGAAAGCCAAAGATATCTGCAGTGTCTAAAATCAACAAGGGATTCATATATTGAATATATATAAAAAATTCAACAAGAAAAAGGCAGTAAATTTAATAGAAGAGGGGCAGCGGACACAATAAATGCAGTTTATAAAAGACGAAAACCACAATGCTAACAAGCAAATAAGAGATGCTCTAATTCATTAGTAATCAGAGAAATAAAAATTAAAACAGCTATCACTTTACACTTAGTAGATGGGCAAAAAGCAGAAACTGGGTAATACAGGAAGTTGGTGGTGTGTGGGGCCATGAACACCCTGAAGCCCTGTGGGTGGGGTGTAGGCTGGGGCGTGTGGGTGAAATTAAGGAGACAGAAACTCTATGAACCACAAATGAGGGCTCTTGGGTTTATATCCCAAAGAGATTGTCACACAGCTCCACAAGAGGACATGGACAAGTCCATTCATTGCAGTGTTATTTGTGCTGGGGGAAGCTGGGGCAGTCCAGTGTCAAGCCTGGGAGAGTGGAGAGGTAACACAGGCAGGTGCCCACTCTGGAGCACTTACAAGTGACTGAGCAGATGATAACATAGCAACAAGGAGGATCTTAAAAACAACACTATTTTAAAGCAAGAAATAGAATGTGCTATATAATACAGCACCATTTGTGTACAATAAGAATCTGCACATAAAACAGGAGTAGAGATTTTACCAGAACACAGATAGAAAGATACACATTAAACATATTGGATGGTTGCCCATGGGATTAAGTTAGAAAGATAGTGGGACAGCAGTCAAGAGGAGAAAGAGAGACTGCATTCTAGGCATAGACGTATGCAAAGACTTGGAGGTGTCTGGTGTACTTGGGGACTGTCCCCATCTCAGCCATGCTGAAGTGAAGCTACTCTAAGTGGCTGTGGTGGAGGGTTCAAAGGAAGAATGAGCACAGTGTTCTGGGGGCCTTTTGAGCCATCTCAAAGCATTTGTACTTTATTTTGATGGCAAATGGGGAGCCATTTTCAGGAAGGAGAGTGACTTAGTAACACGTGGGTTTTAGGAAACTTGCGCCGGCTGCTGTGGGGAGGACAGATCCACAGGAGAGAGGATGGAGACCAGCAGAGCAGGCAGGGGAGTTGCCACATTCCTGGCAGAGGTAAAACTGTCCTGTCTTCCTGACCTCCACAAATGATGTCCTCCACAGATGATGTTACCCACAAAGACTTACAGGCCCAGCCAGTCATGGAGTCCTCGCCCAGTAAGCATCACAGTGCTTGTGACTCTGTGTCCACTGCAGGGCCCATCTGAGCCCAGAACATGGCCTGAGGCCAGTACAGCTTTGCTGAGCTGATCACTGAGCTTCTCTCCAGCCCAAAGGAACAGATGGATCCTAACCATCCACTTGGGCAGCTGGCACTGCAGTTGTTCCTTTACCCAAGGAGAAAGCCAAAGCTCAAGAGAGGTTACATGACATGCCCAGGGTTACACAGCTGGTGAGAGACAGAGCTAGGATTTGAATTCATATCAGTCCATTCCCAGGGCTCAAGATCATTTGTTGGCACTGTTTGCTTCCAGAACTATCTGACTACATAAACTCTGACACTATCGAAACTAGGATGTGCTTAAGACATCATCTAATCCAACACCACCTTCGTTTCCTGAGGCCCATTGAGGGGAAGGGCACGTTCAGGAACATCAGTTTAGAGAGAGGACTTTATTCTGCATTTTTGTGCCCCAGCCCTCACCTTCCCCTATGCACCTGGCACCTTTATAGAGTTAACTCTGCTTATTATGAGACTTATTCACTTAATTCCCAATTCTTCTGCAGCCTGAGAAGCTGTGGGTCTGGGTTCAAATCCCAGCTCCAAAGGAGGGGTAAATTGTGCACATACACACACATACAAGACTGTATATATACATATAATATATATATATAATTATAATATATATATATATGTATCTGTATATGCATAGACTTTATGGAAAGATATACAAGAAACTTGTTTCACTGGTTTGCCTCTAGGGATGGGAAGAAAAACTTTAAAGGTATATGTTTTTTGTACCTTGGCATTTGAATTTATGTGCAATAGTTTTTTTGGCTTTTGTTGTGTTTTGTTTGTTTTTTAACACATCTCCTCCACTTACTCACTATGTATTCTTTGGAAAGCCGTTTAACCTCATTATGGTCCCCTGATGGGGGGCCAACTGTAAATTTAGAGGGCTAGCAGTCCAACGAGGGCCTCACTGGGTGTTGTGGGTCCAGGCTCAGAGGGCCCTACCCTGTTGGGCTTCTTCTGGATTTCAGGGGTGAGTGAAGCTGTGATATAGGCTCCTGGGTAGTGGTTGTGGCAGCACCCTGGGAAGAAGAGAGCTGCAGGAAAGGGAATGACAAAAGGAGTGATGGAAGAACCTTCTTTAAGAGGAGGTTGGTTGGTGGAGGAAGGAAAGATGTCATAAACACAAATTCTCTCTGTCACCCCCCCAAACCCCATTTTCTTGCCCTTCCAGCCTCCTTCCGGTGCAGTCTAGAGGTGTGGGGAGATCTCCGAGAGGATTTTGATGGCGACCAGGCTCCCTAGGCTCTGTCCTTGGTCCTGAAGTGATGCCAGCACCAGCACGTTGCTCTTGGGGCCAGCGACACTGGTTAACGTGACTCCTCAGTAATTCTAAGCCGGGTGAAAACTGTTATTTTTCAACCTTGAAAAATGTCAGGGCTATTTCTATCTTGCAGCCTTCCTCGTCTTAGGGTGTTGGCTGCACCCATTCTCTAGGAGTTCTAGTTATAGCTGCCCCATCCCACATATCATGTCTACAGGGCAGACTCGTCAACCCAGGCCCACCACGTCCAGTGAGTGCCCACTCCATCTGCTAGCCCTCCACATTTACAGCCCATTCCTATCAGGACATCTGATGTTAGATGGGAGATTAAAGACTTGCTGAACAAGCAGAACCCTAACTTGGTCTCCTAACTTAAATTGCTTCATTGATGTATTTTTGACAGTTGTATCATTTCCACTGTCCACAAGGTTATTTTTACTTTTTGAAAATGGCAAGGAAAACACCCCCAATTCATGCTCATCACACTTGTGAGAGCTATATAAACTGAAAGTGACCCTTTCAAAACCCTTCTAAATCTGAGGGGCCCAAGAATTCAACATGAGACTGGAATGTGACAGCCTGGTCTGCTCTGGCCTCAGAGGGGATAGAAGGTGGGCCAGGGTCCTCTCATTCCAGGGGAGATCCCAAGAGGCAGGAAAGAGTGGCAACCAGGCTTCAATTGGACCCCACCTACTGTATCTTGGCACTGTGTGAGGAAGATTGGGGAACACATACTCTGACACCTGCCTAGTTCCACACCTGAGTTTCCTCTTCCCCACCCACCATCCCAGCAGAAAACCTTCCGTTCCCCATTAGCAACCACAGAATGAGATCATATCTGGTCTGTTACATGTACCAAAACAAAAAAGGAAGAAGCAGGAAGTGGATTGGGGGTGGTGTGAAGGCAGCAAGTAACCCTTAGTTCAGCACTCATTTCAGCCTGGGGAGAGAGGGGAGGGGTCCTCCTCCTGTTTTCTGAGCAGTGTTTCTCTTCCTCTTTTGGTGAGAGGGAGATGGTATGGCAGAGAGAAGCCAGCACAGAAGGACACCCAGGCATGCGGGGAGGAGGGCTGGGTTTAGAGGGAATTGGCATTAGGGTCCCACCTTCATTCTCAGAATCAGAGACAGTGTCCTGTCCTACTACTCCATTCCTCCCCTCCCAGTCAAATTCCTCGCCCCATTGGCCCTGGGAATGAATTTTGGCTGCATCATTATTTCACTGTGTGACGCTGGGCAAGTCACTAAACTTTCCCAACCTCAGTTTCCTCTGGTAAAATGGACACAATGGTCCCCAACAGGGATGTGGTGCAGGGATTTGTGAGGTGAAGCAGGAAAGGCCCGATGCGAGGTAAACGGAGACCAAGGCACTAGGTGGCCCTTGCTGCCCCCACCCCCCTACCCCGGCGCTCTCCCCCTAGCCCGGCCCCCTCACCTGTTGTCAGCCACCAGGATCTGCTCCAGCAGGCGGGCGGCCTGCACGCGCGTCTCCAGCTCCGGCGCCTGGAGCAGCCGCAGCAGCAGGTCTAGGCCTCCATCCAGGCGGATGGCGTCGCACAGACCCTGGGCTACCTCGCGGCCCATGGCCGGCAGCAGCCAGGCCTCCTCCACCAGCTGGAAGACCTCGGCCAGGCCGGCGCCCACCGCCCGCACGCTGCCCGCCTGCTTCAGCGCCGACAGCGCCTGCTGCAGTTCGGGCAGCGTGCGCTCCAGGGCGCCCTGCACCTCAGTGCCCGCCCCGGGCGACACCTCGCGGGGACCACGACCGCCCGCGGCCCACCATGGGCCAGCGCCGCCACCGCCGTCCGGCCCCGGCACCCCTAGCCGCTCAGCGCCGGGCCGTGGGCCCGACATGGCGAAATAGCGGCACAGCTTGTAGGCGGAGAGAAGCAGCGTCAGGACCATGGGCGCGGGGTTGCTGGGGACATGCCCAGCCTGAAGGGGCGGGGCCGGGAAAAGCGACCCAGAACTTGGGAAGAAGGGGACCCAAGAGGGGACCAGGGGGAAGATGCTGGAGGGAGGGTGGAGAGAAGGGTACCAGGCAAGGGCACTGACCAGAAATTTGGGGGAGGGGTGAGGGCAGGATCTGGGACGAAGCGGTTGTGGAAGGGGATGCAGGCCCAGATGCAGGGGCTAGGCGATAGGAGGAAGCGGGGAGGAGAGGAATGGACCCAGGCGCGGGAGGGTCTAGGAGGCAGCAACCAGAACAAAGCGGCTCCAGTTCGGGATGGGTTCGCAGAAACGCTCTGCAGCAGCCCCGCCCCTGAGAAGCCACTGGCCGGAGCAGACGCCCCGCCTCTTGGTCTCGCAGGGCTCCCGGTTGCCGCCTGCGTAGCCCCACACCCAGCCTTTCCCAGGCACGCCCACACCCCGGCCAGGCCTCTTCCTCCAGTCGCATTCCCCCATCCCTTCCGCTGGATGCAGGGGGAAGGAGTGGAGAGCGAAAGAACTGCCTCCATTTTACCCTGGTGACTGGCATGTGAGGGCAACACGGTTGGGTGCCCCTGCCTTACTAGTGGTTAATGCAGTAATAATAACAATTTTTGAGGCCCTTTATGCCTGTTTCTCAGGCCTTAAAACATTCCTAAGAGGTAGGAATTAGTGCTCCCATTTCACAGCCGAACGGACTGAAGCCCATAGAGAAAAGATTGCCCGAAATCACACTGTCTTCTGATTATAGAACAGAAAAAGGCAGCGGAGTCTCTGAGGATCACTTCCTCCAGGTGATGGGAGGACTTCCAGAGGTCTCTGGACTCCTGAAAGTGAGCACAAAATCAAGCATTCTGTGCCAGTGAGCATTTTCTGGATAGAGGGAGCCTAGTTCTCACTAGAGTCCGAAAGTGGGGAACTGGCCTATGGGGAGGATGAGGGTGGCGGGCGATAGGGAGTGGCCTGCTGAGGGGCAGTAAATTAGCAGAAGACTCAGGAATTACATCCAGTCTAAGGGGTTAATATTCACCCAACTTACCATGCTATGAAGACCTGCTTGGGGAAATCAATGCACCCAAAAGAAAAACAAATTTCCCCAGTGTGCTTACCAGCATAGTTCCTACCCCACTTTCACTGCCCTAAATACACAATGGGGAGGGGGAGCCACCCAGCCAGGGATGTGTCTGATCAAACAGATCATGGGTCAATAACCATTTATGGAGAATGAAGTTGGGGGTGCTCCAAGCACTGGGCATTTTGTCTGCTTTAGCTCCCACCCTGTGCGACAAGCATGATTAGTTCAGAACTAAGGCAGGTAAAGAAGTTTGCCCAAGGTCCCATAGCCTGTGAGCAGCAGAGTGGGCTTCCATTCTGCCCTCCAGACCCACTGTGTTAGCCCTCTTCTGAGATGACCTTGAGCTTGGCAAGGATCCTATACACCGCTCTCCTGGGCCTGGAGTTCCAGGAACCTGACCCTTTGCTGCCTCTGGGGTTGGGGCTCTAGGGGCTGGGCTGGAGGTTGAGCAAACAGAGCAGTAGAAAAGGCAGCTCCTCTTCTCCAGTTTTCTCCCTCCCTGTTTCACCTTTCCCTCCCTTCCTCAGGCATCAGAGCAGAGACTGCAGTTTCTCTACTTTACCAGGCTCAAGGCTGGAGGCCCTGCCATGGCACCTCCAAGGCCCCTTCTGATGCTGGCCCTGCTGGCATGGGTTGTTCTGGCTGACCAAGGTGTGGGAGGGTGTCAGTGGCCATTTGGGTCAATGTAGGGTGGGCAAGGGTGGCCTGGGCTTGGCTGTGCTAACTTATATCCCTTCCCCACAGAGTCGTGCAAGGACCGCTGCACTGAGGGCTTCAATGCCGACAGGAAGTGTCAGTGTGACGAGCTCTGCTCTTACTACCAGAGCTGCTGTGCCGACTACGTGGCTGAGTGCAAGCCCCAAGGTGCGTTCAGAGTGGCTGGGTGGGCTTGGGGTCCCCTCTGCAGTTGGAGACTCACCACCGCCCATCCTGCCTGCAGTGACTCGAGGGGATGTATTCACTCAGCCAGAAGATGACTACAGGTTGTACGACTACCGCGAGGAGACCAGACCTAGTATGAGTGCCCAACCACAGACAGAGAGGCCCAGACTGCAGGGCCACACTAAAGAGACTCCTGAACAGGCACCTACTCAGAACCCTCAGGAAGAAGTGGTTCCAATATCTGGGCAGGGGAACTCAGAACCTGAGGTGGAGCTCCTCAGGCCTGAGATCCCAGCAGAGGAGGAGAAGTGCAGCGGGAAGCCCTTTGATGCCTTCACCGACCTCAAGAATGGTTCCCTCTTTGCCTTCCGAGGTGACTCAAGGAGGGGTCTCAGGGGAAGGGGCCTGCCCCAGGAGCATCCTCTCACATAGCCTCCCTCCCTCTAGGGCTGTACTGCTATGAGCTGGATGAAAAGGCAGTGAGGCCTGGGTACCCCAAGCTCATCCAAGACGTCTGGGGCATTGAGGGTCCCATTGATGCCGCCTTTACCCGCATCAACTGTCAGGGGAAGACCTACCTCTTCAAGGTGCCAGGTCCAGGGGCTGTGGGTTAGGGTCAAGGGTATCAAGGTAGGGGTTGAGGGCTGCTGTGTCCAGGACCAGGGTGGGAAAGAGGGCTAGATCCCAGCCTGTGGTCCCTGGCTGGGTCTCTGTATGGACATGAAAGCCCCAGGTTCCAGGTCTTGGGGCTACAAACCTGGAACTAGGGCTGCTGCCTTAGGTAGGGGACTCTGCCTCTGTGCCCAGCCAGCTGCCTCCTCACTCTCTTCTTCCTGACCCCTTAGGGTAGTCAGTACTGGCGCTTTGAGGATGGTGTCCTGGACCCTGATTACCCCCGAAACATCTCTGAAGGCTTCAGGGGCATTCCGGATAATCTGGACGCAGCCTTTGCACTTCCTGCTCATAGCTACAGTGGCCGGGAGCGGGTCTACTTCTTCAAAGGTACTCAGGGGGTGGGTGGGAGGATGAACAGGCAGTGGAGCAGTCTTGGTTTTCTTCCACACTCCACTGGGGACAGGCCTCACATTATTGCCAACCCCCTGCCGGGATCTTGTAACTTCTACAGCCCCTGGGCTTTCCAGTCTTGCTCATGGCCACCCCTCCCCAGGCAAACAGTACTGGGAGTACCAGTTCCAGCAGCAGCCCAGTCAAGAGGAGTGTGAAGGCAGCCCCCAGTCGGCCGTGTTTGAACACTTTGCCCTGATGCAGCGGGACAGCTGGGAGGACATCTTCAAAATTCTCTTCTGGGGCAGTTCCTCTGGTATGGAGAAAGAGCAAGTCTTTCTTCCCCCTCAACAGAGCTGGGATCTGCTGGTAGAGGTAGGGCTGGGCTGGCCAGAGGGGCTGTGACTGTGGAGCTATTGATCAAAAGTTGTTTGCTCAGGTCAGACTTTGCTTCTGTTGACCTTTGTCGGGGAGGTTTGCCTTCTGCTGGACCCCACACCTTGGACTTTGCCTAGCACAGCCAAGAGCACAGCCAGCAGAAGGAGGGGCTGTGGCAACCGGGGAGGGATATGGTGGAGGGAGTCCAGGTGAAAGGGCATTGAACAGGGATTTCGAAGGCCAGGATGCTAGGCTCTGCCTCTGGCTAGCTGTGTGTCCTCGGGCCCATCCTTGGCTACCAAGGCTCCCCATTAACCCCTTCCCTGACACAGGTGGTGTTGGACAGCCCCGGTTCATCAGCAGGGACTGGCTTGGTTTGCCTGGACAAGTGGATGCAGCCATGGCTGGCCATATCTACATCTCAAGCTCAACTCCCCGCTCCTCTCAGATCAAAATGACCAAGTTTAAGCGTCGCAACCGCAAGCGCTACCGCTCACACCGTGGCCGTGGCCATAGCCGTAGACGCAGCCAGAACCCCCATCGGAAATCTCGTTCAGTCTTGCTGCCCTTGTTCTCCAGTGAGGAGAGTGGTCCTGGAGCCTACAACTATGACTATGAGATGGACTGGCTAGTGCCTGCCACCTGTGAGCCCATCCAGAGCGTCTACTTCTTCTCAGGAGGTGGGAACCCTGCCAGCCCTATAGCTGGTCTGCTGTCCCTGCTCCCCATGGGCTGAACACAGCTCTTGGGTGATGATTCCAGAAAGCCAGATGGGAGTCCTTAAGTGCATTGTGGATGTTAACTTATCCTTCTAGGAGAGATCCAGGTCTTCTCTGGGCAGGAGTGGGCAGGCCAATGCTGGGTCTCACACACCCTCTCCCAACCTCTCTTCCAGACAAGTACTACCGAGTGAACCTTCGCACACGGCGAGTGGACGCTGTGATCCCTCCCTACCCACGCTCCATCGCTCAGTACTGGCTGGGCTGCCCAGTCCCTATCCACGAGTAGGAGTCTGAGTCCACACAGCTGGGCCTCTGCTGCCCCCTCCACCAACTTCCTCTTCCCAGCCCAATAAAGGTCCCTTGGTCTTGAGTTAAAGACTACTGTCCTGGCTGGGCTGGACAGGCAGGAGGGAGGGATCTGCCTGGGTAGAGGAGGGGAAGCTGGGCTGTCAGGGTGGCTAGTGGGAGGGGACAGAGCAGATCCTCCTTGTGTCCAGCTCATGTTGGGGATAGGCCCACTCTGTGAGCCAGAAAAGGTCTGGGTTGGGAGGGCCCCATGAGTGCAAGACTTCCCCCTGCACTGAGCAGCCCCCCACAACCTACCAGCCCCTAAGCAGGAGCTCGAACCCCTCTGAGGATGACAGGAGTCACCAACTGACACTTCTGAGCCCTGGGTTTGTTTTGCCTGTCACTGACTAGGGTCTTGGAGGAGAGAGAAGGGGCAGGAAGTGATGGGTTCTGGCTCAGCTTTTCTGCCTATACTGGACATGAAACGCTGTTAGCTTAGACATTTGAGTTCCAGGGGAAATGGTCACTGTGCTCCTCCAAACCCACCCCAACGATGATGGACCTTTGAGGTCTCTGTCTTGGATCTGAGATGCGGAGCACTGAGTCAGGAGAGATAGGGAAGGGCAGGAACTAAAAGGAAATACAAATGCACCCATTTCTCTTAGAAAAGTGGCCCAGAAGACTTCCAAGGATGAGTACACTGTAAAAGCAAATATCTTTCTTAAAACCCCTCAATGTAACTGTGGAATCTTCTCTGGTTCCAGATTCCTGGGCTCTAGAAAGCCCATTTGGGCTCTCAAGGGGCCAGAAAGAACGGGCTAGATGCAGACAAAGCTCTAAAGTGGACCTGAGGGTGATCTGGTGGTGACATCTGCTCCCAGCCCTGCTGAGAGGAGGGTGGCTCCAGCTCAATGCTGCCCCCTGTCTTCCTCCTTATTCTGTTCAGATCTCCTAGCCCTGTCCTTAACTGTGGTATAGGACTCCACCCACTCTCTCTGGATGGCAGCCAGTACCAGGGCACTGAGGGCTGCGGGATAGGCAGCTGAAACACTGGCAGCATTGGAGAAAGGGATCGCCTTGGCTTCCTGGAAGAACCCTGAGAGGATTTTCACAAAGTACAGGATTTCAGACACAGACTACCAGAGTTTGAGGTTTGAAGAGGGGGGTGGGCTTCTTTTATGAAGCCCAGAGGAATAGGGTTGCCCAACCCACATCCCCACAAGCCCCAACACTGCCCCTGCCCTCCCCTATTTTCTCTGGGAGTTCTCCGCCCTCCTCCTCTGAGCTGGATGCTAAACCTACCCCCTCCTGGAGGCGGAGCCAGCCCTCGGAGCAGGATAAAACCCCAAACCGAGGGGACTGGTGTGGGCACAGCCTTGGCATGGCCATCTGGCTCCTCACTCTGCCAGCTCCATGGCCAGCTCAGTGGATGCATCTTCTGCAGGTGATCTGGTGGGGAAAGGGTGGGCAGGGGGAGGATGTGGGGAGGGTGTGATGGGGAAGTTTGAGAGGGGTGGGGAGTAGGGGCTTCCAAGTCTGTTGGGGGTTTGAGGCTGGGGTAGAGGCTCTCGCAGGGACACCTGGCTTGACCCCCACCCTGGCCTACAGGCCTTGCCAGTGGGTTGGGTCCCCATCGGAGAAAGAGGACTACCTTCAGCAGAGGGCAGCTGCTGGAGATGGAGCGGGTGTTTGCAGCACGGCCCTACCCCGACATTGGCACCCGTGAGCACCTGGCCCAGGTCACCTGCCTTCCTGAGGCCAAAATTCAGGTAAGCTGTGACCCCCTACCCCTGCCCTCATTGGGAATGCTCTCGCACAGACAATTTCTAAGCTTGACCCACAGTCCCTTCTCTCTGGGTATCCTGCCCCCAGGTTCTGCTTTCACTGTATCCAGGGGAGGGTGGGAAAGGATGCTGTAGCCAGAAGAGACTCCTTCTTTCCTTATCAGGTGTGGTTCCAGAACCGCAGAGCCAAGAGAATCAAGAATAGAAAGCCAGGAGGCCTAAGCCCTAGGCCTGAGCCACCCCAGAGATCCTGTTCTCTTCCAGACACCATCAAGCAGTCTGGGGAGGCCCGAACCCTGGGCCAGTCTCCACCCTCCAACAGCACAGCTCAGTATGCCTCTGTGTGTCGACACACCTCCTGCCCAGCTCCTGGCTTGGGTCCAGGGCAGGGATGGGTGGGGGCTAAAGCTACTGCCCTATGGGGACCGGCTGGGGCTGCAGGGGTCCACCTAACTTCAGAGAGAGCTACCCCCCAGAACTCACTGGGCAGCCTGTCTGACCTCATCTATGCCTCGGCCATTGTCACCAACCTGGACCACTCCTAATCTAGGTCTAGAACTTGGAAGACCCCTTCTGTGACTCCTGTAACCCACTCTACCCCTTAGGACTGAACACATCAGAAGTGGACCCTCTTTTTAACAAGGGAGTTCTCTTACAGGAAGAAGGGTTAGCTCAGGGATCCCTCCCTTCCCCTGTCCTCCAGGCCAGCCTAGATGTGGGTCCTATGGAGTGACAGAGGCCTGGCTCTGCTACCTAGCACCCTGCCCCTCCTGGGGCTTATGCCTATCATCTCGGCAGGCGGTACCTACAAAGAGATGAGGTCAGGGCTCATGTTTCCCACTTCTCCTTCCAGGCCTCGTTCCCAATTCTCTCCCCAGCTGACCACACCTCCTCCCACTAAAGGAGAATGGCCAGCTGCCCCTCACCCAAGGGCCCTCCAAGCCATAAACTGACTGTTAAGTGAACTAGGAGAGTGCTGATCCTAATTCTAGACTGCAGGGACCAATCCTTTCATAGTTCAGGGCCCCCTCTCCTGCCCTCCTACTGCCTGGACAAATTAATCAGAACCACAGATCTGAAGAGGGAATGATATTAAAGTAATAAAGTAGAAATAGGAGTCTGGGCTTATGTTAATCAGATTGGCTGCCCTCTGACCTGGGGCTGCAGACAACCTGACAGATTCAGGATGGGGTGGGGGTGGGGGGTGGTCTGCACAGCAGCATTGGGTTTTGGTATCACTGTCATCTGTAATGCCAACTAATCTCCAAATAAAACCCAAACTCTGTACCTTAATCTGGATTGTTGTGTGCTGCAAATGAATTGAGATGGGGGCTGTTTGCTTTTGAAATTTATCTCCATCACCTAATCTCTAAATAGGGCCAGGTTCCACATAGACTCTGGGTGGGAGGTATTATTCAGGCTTCTGTTGGGATTAGTTAGAGGGATAGTTAATTGAAGGGCTTAGGCCTCTGGCTGACAAACCCTGGAGAGACGGGAGCCTCAGCTGTACCCACTTCTGCTCCCACTGGTTCCCGGACACTCCAGCTGCCTCCACTTCTGGAGCTGCTCTGCTTCAGAGAGAAAAGCTGGGAGTTTACAACTGGTCTGCGCTGGATTCAAATCCTGGCTGCCGTGTAATCTTGGAACTCACCAAGTCTATGAGCCTAAAAAATGGGGATGATAACACTCATCTCTCTGGGGAACAAGAAGCAATAATACAGATGAAGGGCTTCACGTGGTGCACATGTAGTAAAAGCGCTCAATACACGGTAGTTCCCACCATCTCCCCATACGACAGGTCTTGAGGAACTGGGAAGGCCTCAAACTTCTTGTTCTGCAGGCTGGCTGCCAAGGACTCCCCTTTCTCCCTGGGACGCCCTGGACACAGGCTGCACCAGAGAAAGCATGGTATGGTGACACAAACGAAGTGGCTGAGAGCAGAGAGTTCCCTTCTCTGGGACGAAAACTGGATGACAGGCCCTCCCCCATCTCCATTCCTATTCTAATTCGTGCCCTTACAGATGGGAGCCACCTGCACAGTGGCCATTTCCTTGGCAGGCCCCAGGGCTTTGACTCCTCTAGCCCGAGAAGCCAGGGCAGTGCTTGGCCCATTAAGGAACTCTCAACAAGTACTCAAGGCCACAGAAGCCTACTGGCTTGTGAGTAGGGGGCTGGGACCAGGTAAAGACCCCATTCCAAAAAAGAGGGGTGTGTGGAGAATGACTCCAATTGCATCCTGAGAAGACGCCCTGGGTCAGAAGCTTTTTAAGGAGGTCTGCTCTTTATCTAAAATGTGGAAGTCTTCCAACCTGAATCCAGGTACATGGAGGCTGTGAAAGCTCAAGGGTACGTTGTCTCTCTGACCCATGGAGTTTAGCACAGGTAGATACAGCTGTGAATCTCCACAAAGCTTCAGTGTACCTTTTTAACTCAATCTTAAACCATCTGGGTTACTAGAAACACTGTAAAAGTCCACCTGCATTTTTTCTCACAATCAACAATAGAAATCCTATGAGTTTTTTTTAGTTTTTAAAAAATTGAAGTACAGTTACAATGTGTCAATTTCTGGTGTACAGCACAATGTCCCAGTCATGCATATACATACATATATTCATTTTCATATTCTTTTTCATTAAAGGTTATTACAAGATATTGAATATAGTTCTCTGTGCTATACAGAAGAAATTTGTTTTTTTTTAAATCTATTTTTATATGTAATGGCTAACATTTGCAAATTTCAAATTCCCAAATTTATCCCTTCCTACTTCCTTTTCCCTGGTAACCATCTATGTCTGGGAGTCTATTTGTTTTGTAGATGAGTTCATTAGTGTCCTCTTTTTTCTTTTTTCAGATTCCACATATGAGTAATATTATATGGTATTTTTCTTTCTCTTTCTGGCTTACTTCACTTAGAATGATCTCTAGGTCCATCACTGCTGCTGCAAATGGCATTATTTTATTCTTTTTTGTCTGAGTAGTATTCCATTGTATAAATATACCACAACTTCTTTATCCAGTCATCTGTTGATGGGCATTTGTGTTGCTTCCATGTCTTGACTATTGTATATAGTGCTACTATGAACATTGGGGTGCATGTATCTTTTTGAATTAGAGTTCCCTTGGGATATATGCCCAGGAGTGGGATTGCTGGATCATATGGTAAGGCTATTTTTAGCTTTTTGAGGAATCTCCATACTGTTTTCCATAACAGCTGTACCAAGGTGTAGCTTTTTAACTCAATCTTAAAACTGTCTGAGTAGCTAGAAACACTCTAGAAGTCCACCTCCATTTTTTCTCGTGGCTGACATGTCTTCCAACCAACAATAGAAACCCTACGATTTCTCAACACAGTGATCTGTGGTGGGACAGAAGGGCCTAAGCCATCCTCTCTCTCATGGAGGATAGTGCCCTGAGAGGCTGACTTGCTATAATTCAAGAAACTGGCAATACTATAGAGGAAACATCTGCTGAGCCAATGAGTGTATAATTTCTAAGAACAGAAGAGTGTTCTGGAAAAAGAAAAAGATGACAGGAGCTCATACACTGAACAAAAACAGTCCACCATTAGGAACAACCCTGGCCAATTCTCCCAACTATGGAAATCTCTAGGCTTTTGTGTTCTCACAGGATTTGAAGTAAGAATATGCTGGGTACAACAAATATTTATTGGATAAATAATGCTGATATCATTTTTAAGTGCCTTATACAGATTCTATCAGCACACCACTAATCTAAATTCTTATAAGTTTAACATTACACAGAGACTTCAGGGCAACCTAAAAGTCTTTGGCTCTATTTAACAGAGGAAGGACCTCAGCTGGTCATTTGATCTTTCTCAGCCTCAGTTTTGTCTTCTGGAAAAGGGGCCTAAAACCATTTCCTTTTCCAACCTCTGGGATTACTGTGAACACCAAAAGCAATCACGTAAAACAGTTAGTCAACTGAGAACTTTTACACACTATTTTTCATACTCACCCAAACGTGTTGAAGAATCTACACAAAATAACCTGTATTAAGCTTACATATAATATGTATATATATGTGATGTGTATATTCACATTCGTATATATATAGCTACACATATAGTTAAATCTAAAAACAGTCCCTTGTCTACAGAGAACGTCTCCCTTTATTGGTTGATACAATCCACAGAAGACATACTCTCCCCACAAACACAAACATGCACAAGGGATTTCGCAACTAAAAGCAGGCACACTGTTTTGCCATCTGAATCATTTTCATTTTTGAAAGCAAAAGGTGACGGGAAGGTGGAAAGTTTCAGAAGGGGTAGTGAGTGGTGAGACAGGCAGAAGCTACAGAAAATACGAACAAGGCAAGCAGAAGGAAGAGGATGAAGACAGAAACTAATTAAAAAAGGTAGCTGCCTTGCTTCCAATTCCACCATTGTGTACCAACCATCTTTCTCCTATTTGACGTCCTCTGATCAGTTCCTCTTCCAGCACAAACTGGAGAAAGGGAATCCCTTCCGCTTTCTTGGAGTCTTCTGATCTCAATTTTAGGTCTGCATCAAGATGTGTGCAGCAAGGATGACCACTGATTTGTGAACCTGGGCAAGTTCAAGGCAGTATGGTCTACTTTTGAAAAGGCCTGGATTCTCTGTACTCCCAATGGAAAAAGACCCCTGTCCCAGCAATGCTCAGAATGGACTGGAGAAGGCAGATGGGCACCAGGTTGAGGAGAACATATCGAGAGACCAGGTCTTTTCAATTGTTGTCTGAGTCTCCTCTACTGCCCCCTCTGTAAACTGACACAGGATGGGGTGCCCCACAGGAACAGCAGGTGGATTTGGTTCAGCCCTCTGACTAACCAGAGCTGAGTACAGAGAGCCTGATGGGTTGACTGAGAATCAATGATTGGCAGCTGGAAGCCTGGAATCCTTAGACTTTGATGATGAAGTGCAGTTAGAGCTCTCCCAACTCGCCTTCCATTGCCCGTACCATGACATACAGCTCGGCCAGACCCACCACAGAGGCCACAATCAATGCAGCCAGTATCCGCTGGGAAGAAAGAGAACCAGGCTTAACAGATGCAGGCCAGCTTCCAGCTCTGCAGACTCTAGCAACTAATAAGGATGGAGAGGACCTCAACCCAGCCCACAAGTTGGGGGAAAGGGAAGAAAAGAGGATCTGAATTCTCTTGAGGTTATCATCTACCCCCCATGACTACTGGACAGCTCAAATGCGCCCCTTGTTTATCACACAAATACCTTACCTGTGCAAGGCATTTTCACATACATTCTCCCTTTCCCACCAATACTCCCACCTGGAGCAGCCTGCCCTGCCCAGTAACTACTCACCGAGGTCATTTCTGTGAAGATATATTGGCTTCCAAGGTAAGTGCAGACAAAGGCAGCTGCCACCGTGACAATGAAGTTGAAGATGGTGATGACCAGAGCCTTCACTGACCTCACTTTGGGGAGGAGCCCAGGGAAGAAACCTTTAGGTTGCCATCCTCCAGGAGGCCCTCTTATCTCACAGCTCCCTCCCCCATCAAATGGGTTTCCCTCAAGCCTGAATAGCTCAGGCTTAAATACAGAGTTGGAAGGAGTGCCATGACCGACCGGTCACAGGAAGAGGTTTTAGCAGCCTGATTTCCTGGTACCTCACCTTGCTTCCCCAGGTCACTGAGAGTTCCACCGTGCCTTGAATCCTGAGAGAAAGAAAAGCAAATGATTTCAGAATAGACACAGCTCAGAGGCAGCCCAGAGAGTATTCATTTGTCAGTATGAGCTCAGCCCTCTTTATTCTGCAACACATTAACTCTGCGTTCTCCATGGATTTTTGTCTGGGACCAATTGGAATCTTTTCTGGACCACAGATCAAGCATTTCAGAAAAGGCGTGTAGGTTCCCAGTACCCATCTACCCATCTCCTTCTCCAGGGCAGGAGCATACCAGAGAACAGTAGGGAGCCCTGTCAGAAGAAAGGCTCCAGGCTCATCTCCACTTCTACAACTTTTAAAAAATCAGTCACATCTGAGCTCAGAGTGTTGGTAAATAAGTTGGGAATTGTATTTGGCCTGTACCCAGCACAGAGTCCCTATGGTCTCTGAAGAGTATACAAACCAAGTTTCTATGCTGTTTCTTTTATCTGTACCTCTTCCCAGTGCTGGGCCCTACTTTCAGGGGCAACACAATATATGAATTGAAGAGTGAGCCCTTACCTGACAGGTGACATTGCGGGTGATCCGCTCATATTCCTCATTGGCGAGCTGTATCTTAATCTTCTCCAGACGGGCAACTAGCTCTGGGTTCTGAAGCATAAAAATCAAATGAGAAGAATGATATTCCCAACTTGCTAGAAAGTACGGGCGCAAAGCATGCTAAAGGTGTCAGGCGACCCATATACCAGTTCTGCCTCCATTGCTTTGGAAACTAGTTTTTTGGGTCTCAGTTTTCCAAGCTGTCAAACAGGGTGGACAATATCTTCTTCCCCCACCCCAGCTCAGGGGGATTTAAAAGACAAATATTTTAGCCCAAAGATCGATTCATAAATTTGGATGTATCACAAATCCAACTCAGCCAACACCCACTCTCACAGATATATCCCTTACATACCCGAGGAGGCTTCACAACCTCTGGGAAATAGATTTCACTGCCTTCTAGGAGCTCATGAAGGTATAGTGTGGAATCTGGGAAGAAAATATTTCCACAAACATAATGATGCATAGAGCTGAGGTCGAAGGATTAAGATCAGAGAAAAATGAGGCGACTGTGGACTGAAGACTGGGGCTCACCCCTTTCTCTCAGGTACTGGTGCAGAGCCCGGATCAGGTGGAAGGAAATCAGGCGTTCGGTGCCACCCGGCTGACATTCCTTGTGCTTCTTCCCTAGTGCGGCCTCAAGCTCTGCCCTCAGCTTCCGCGGCAGCTGCTCTGGCTCGAGCTCCCCGCCGGGACCCAAAGCGCGTATCAGTCGCTCACCAGCTAACAAGCAAGACGCCATGTCTAGCCAGTCGTAGGGTCAGTGACCCCGAGCCTGGACTTCCGTCTGCCTCCGCCGGAAGGAGCTCTGAGCTCACGGGGCGGGCAGAGGGCCAAAGGGGCGGGGATACGGCGCGGGGCAGTGTGGGGCGGGGGCGGAAGGCCGCCCGGCCGCGGGTGCGTCTGTGTGTCAGCAGCCCGGCGGGCTCTCTCTCGGGACATGGCGGGCTGTGTGGCCCGGCGGGCCCTGACGGTGGGCAGTCGCTGGTGGTCCCGGTCGCTGGCCGGGGCCCGGGGGCCGAGGCTGTACTGTGCGGCGGGTGGAGCTGGGGCCTTCCCACCAGCGGCGACCACGATGACGTCGGAGGCACCTCTCGTCCCGGTGAGGGACGGAGCGCGGGGGCCGGGCGGGAGCCCTGGGAAGTTGTTCCCAGCCAGCGAGTAGACCACGGGGCCGGGCTGCGTGAGGGTGATTGGAGTTCGACCCGGGAGAGGGTCCCGGCCGAGAGTCGACCTGCGTTGCCCGGGACGCGTGCCAAGAGCAGAGAAGGGAGCCCTGGGTTGTGCAGGGCTGGCTCTGAGGGGACACTGGTAACCCTCCCATGGAGAACCCTGCCTCTCCGAATGGGGGAATCCGAGCGCCGCTGTTAGTGGACAGCCTTTTAATTAAGTCTCAGGGCTTTTGACTTGAACCCTCAGCCCATGACTGGGTCAAGGCCTCCCTCAGAAAGATGCTAGAAGTGGGAAACGGGACTCGAGTCTGGGCCCTGCGTGGGTCCCAAGTTTCAGTGTGACCTTGGGGATACACCTTTTATTTATGTAACTTGGGGAAGGGGGTTTGAGGCCATGGGGATGTTGTGAGTAGTGCCTCTAGGGATAGGACAGGCTGATCAGATTGGGGCTGGTGGATCAAGTGGGAGGAAGCATAACGTTCACATCTCCAAAACAGTAAGAAAGCATTGCTTTGAAGGCCCCCCTCGAAAAAGCAGCTCTGTCCAGCGAGGTCTCTGAGATAACTGACCTTTTAATGGCTGAGATTAGACACGGACCTTGGGGAGAAATGATAGCTATTTGCAGTTTAAGACCCCTGAGAAAACTGATGTAAATCTGAACAAAAACTAGTTTGGGAGAATACTACTAGGTGTAGTGCAGGGAGTACAGTAGGAAATCTAGGGATGATTAGCCCTTCAAGGGCAGGGTGAGGACTGCAGTTTAGAGGGGAGATGGACATGGAATCATATAACACAAAACAAGTATTTTTTATTTTGAGTACCCCTTATACACTAGGCTCTGAGAGGAAGCACAGGCTAATCAGACACAGGCATTGCTCCCATTGCTACCATTACAGTTTCTAGTGGAGATAAGACAGGGACATGAATAACTGAAATGCAAGGTGGAAAGGGCAGTTAAAATGCTGTGGTAAGTCAGGAAGGTGGGTCAAGGAAGAAAGGGAGGCAAGGGATACAATTAATTAAGCAGGGTCTGAGGGCATGATTTGAGGAATGCTGAGAATCAGAAGAAAGTGATCTGTGAACAGACAGATCTCATGGAAACCAAGGAGGCATCTCTAGCTGGACTTCAAAGGAGGAAAGGCAGAATCTCTGGAGTGGTGGTTTGGCAGGACCCTTACGTGGTTCAGCTGGCTTCACTGCCCTGACCCTTCTCTGCTACTGCCCTGGCCCCTCAGTATCCTGGAAGCTTTTTCAGATGCATTAGTAAATCCATTCCCTTCTCAGCTTTTCAGTTGCTTATTCTTTTCCTTCCTAATCAGAAACCGACCAGAGGGCAAAGTTTTGGAGACAGTTGGTGTGTTCGAGGTGCCAAAACAGAATGGAAAATATGAGACTGGACAAGTGAGTGCTGGTCTGGGTCATCTTTCACTTTTATGGTTTGTTCTGCTTCTGAAAAGGTCAGATTTGGTCACAGGCCTGAATGTTATGGTATTCTGCCTTGGTGTTTGGTGCCAGACCAGAATCACAAGGGTGGGGTTTATTTTATTTTTGTTTTTAAGATGGAGTTTCTGTTTTCCTGCATTTGAATGTATTTCCATGTGTCAGTCAGTTCTCTTTCCAAATTAGTGTGGACAGAGATGGTTTGGATTGTTATGAGGAGAGAGGCCAGTTGCTGAAGAGTCATCTAACATAGTGGTTGGTGGGAAGCTAGTGGAGGGAGCTTTCAGAAAAGCAAACCTGCTTTTTGATGCTTTATCATAGTTGCAGTGAAGTAAGATCTGGTGTGAGGCACTTTTTTCTGTATGAGCTCCACTGAGATAGATTTAGGCCTAACTTTTTTTTTTGTATGTCTGCAATGGACTGAGCGTTATGCATTGGTGTTAAATCAGAAAGCAATACCTTCACGGAGTTGACAGTTTAGAAAGGAATTATAATATGCAAATGGTCAACAGCTGTACACTGTGCTAAGTGGAGGGGAGGTAAAGGAGGCTTCCTAGAGGCCTCAGCTATGGCCTAAAGGATGAGTAGAAGTCACCTAGTTGAAGAGGCGGTAAGAGTGTTCCATAGTTTGCCTAGGTGGATCGCAGAATTCAAGGGAAAGAGTAGCAAGACCTCGTGCTAGAGTTGCTAACACCTGTGCCACTTAGTGGTGTGGGCCCCACCTAGCTGGACCTGCTGGGCTGCAGACTCACTGAGGCCTCTCTTCCCTCCCAGCTTTTCCTTCACAGTGTTTTTGGCTACCGAGGTGTCGTCCTGTTTCCCTGGCAAGCCAGACTATACGACCGGGATGTGGCTTCTGCTGCTCCAGAAAAGTAAGTTTCCTCATCATTGTGCCACACATATCCTCAGGAGGAGACCTGCTTCATGGCAGACATACATAATTGGGGCCCCAGGGGTGAAGACAGCATCCTTCTGGGCCTTAGAAACAGTCCCAGGCCACTAATACCCATGGAGACAGAAGTGTTGCATGCCAGGGACAGTCTTAAGTCAGAGGATCCCTTTAGGTCTCCCCAGGATACTGTCCCGAGGGATTCACAATTTGCATTATAAGTACTCCAGAGGGCATTTGGGGGACTAGGCTTCTTGATTTCTTGATGTTCAGTTAGAATCTTTCCCTTAATCTTTTATTATCACTAGAGTACGTTAAAAAAGAAAAGGCCCAGCTCTGTTAAATAATCACAGACAGCCCCTGGGACATGAGGAGAATGGGGTGCTTTGGGTTTCGGGGACTGAGGCAGCAGTTTGATTTTCTCAACATGGCCTGTTTCTTGTAAAAGGCATCCAGAGAGTAAGATAAATGATGACCCTATGCCATAGGTCCTCCATACTCCATTGCTTACCCCTGACTGGGGAGCACCTGGCTGGGGTGTTGCTGAACAGGTACACAGCAGGTGCTAAGCCCCTTCAGTTCAGGCACCACTCTGTTTAGTGAGGAGGTGGTAGGGACCTGGGGCAAGCACTGCTTCTCTTTTCTCTGGGGGTGATCTTGGGCTGCTTCTCCTGCCCCATAGAGCAGAAAACCCTGCTGGCCATGGCTCTAAGGAGGTGAAAGGCAAAACCCACACTTACTATCAGGTGCTGATTGATGCCCGAGACTGTCCACATATAGTAAGTAAGCAAGATGGCTGTGCCTGGGGTTCTTCTCCATGAGAAAGGCCTGAACCCCGATGGGGGCTAAGGGAAGGAGAGGGGTTAAACAGGCCTGGGTCAGCACTGGGCCCCAAGCCCTCACTACTGGATAGTGACCAAGAAAGTCTCTGACTCACTTCTTACCTTAGTCTCAGAGATCTCAGACAGAAGCTGTGACTTTCTTGGCTAACCATGATGACAGCCGGGCCCTCTATGCCATCCCAGGTGAGTGGTGAGCATCTGAATGGTGCCTGTGGTGGTCGGTGTAGTGTGTCTTAGGGAGAGGATTTTGATGCCTTTCTGATGTCCTTTAATCTGCTGGGAGGGAGTAAAGATGCTGAGAGCAGTGGTGGTCATCCCAACCTGGGACAAGGCCAGGAATTGTGTTTCTTCTCAGCCCTGGTCCTGTCTCCTCCTACATGAGTTTCACTGTCCCTTTGCCTTTCTCTGCCAGGCCTGGACTATGTCAGCCATGAAGACATCCTCCCCTACACCTCCACTGATCAGGTTCCCATCCAGCATGAGCTCTTTGAAAGATTTCTTCTGTATGACCAGACAAAAGGTATCCTCTCTTATTAAGGGAAGCTGGAATAGGAGGGCCCTTTCTTCAAAGAGAGTATCACAGAAGCATTTTCAAAGCTCTGTTTCCACAACCTTATTCAAACTCCCATTAGACTTGTCAGATAGATGGCTATTATCTCCTCCTAACAGATACGGAAACAGGCTCAGGGATGATGAGAAGGGACTGAAGGTTGCGAGGTGGTGCGGAGCGAGGTCTGAAAATCAGGGCTCCTAACTCCTAGTCTGCTTCTCTTCCCCTGATGTCAGCCCCTCAGGGCTTATTCTTGGTAGGCAGCTCCCTGCCTTCTTCCAACCTGTGCTTGGCTCATGTTTGGGTGTCTTGTTTACCTGGGCCACCACTGGGAAGAGTTTTCTAGAAGGGGCAGTTGGAGAGTGGACTGGACTCTGGCCTGGACTAACTAGTCATCTCTTGTCCCAGCACCCCCTTTTGTGGCTCGAGAGACGCTACGGGCCTGGCAAGAGAAGAATCACCCCTGGCTGGAGCTCTCTGATGTCCACCGGGAAACCACTGAGAACATCCGTGTCACTGTCATCCCCTTCTACATGGGCATGAGGGTATGTGCCCAGCTTGGATACCTGCCCTCAGAGCTAGGCCCCAGGTTCTGTGTGGTATCCTCAGTGACTGCTGGTGTGGGTTCCAAATTTAAACCATGTCTGTGGTTCTGATTTCAAGTGCTGCATACATGGTTGGGGTTGAGCAGCCTCTTGGCGACAGCTGACACCAAGACCTAGAGCAGGGAAACCCTGGTCCTAGGAAGGAGTCCTCCTGGCTAACCCTTCCTTTTTCTCTTCAGACTCGAAGGGGCCATGTTTATGAAGAATATACACATGCTTATTTAAATCAGTGTAGGCCCATCTTTACACTTTTTATGCGTTAGTCAAACGTTCATTTAGCTATTTCTTGCTTGGTGGTAAGCTGGGTCCTGGAGATACAAATAAAAGTGGAACACCGTTCCTGCCTTCTGGGAGCTCATGGTAGCGGGGGAGACCAACATATAGCATGTCAAATATTATAATTAGCCTGGAGTATGGGAGGGCCAAGGAGGAGGACAGTGGCCTGGGCCAGCGGTGATGGGAGGTGGCAGCTGACAGGGAGGGTGGTAAAGGAAGAGCTCCAGGCTGGTTTCTGTTGGCGTCCAGCTCTGTTGGTGATCTCGATAGGATGAAGAGGAGGGAGGCCAGGGATGGACCCAAGGGAGACTGCCTCCCTGTGGGCTTGTTGGCCATAGTTCAGACATAGTTGAGCTTTGTTCTATCTTTGCAACGTTCCTAGAATACATCACTTCTTCGGAGAGATGTTTATGGGAAGAGACTTGGTCCCTGCCCTCTGGCACTGAAATTCTTTGTGTTTTTTCCCCAGGAGGCCCAGAATTCCCATGTCTACTGGGTGAGTGTCTTCCTTGGGAGGAGGGGAGCTCAGGAGGTGTGCCTACTTGGGCAGGTTGGGAGGTGGGGCTTGTGCAATGCAGATGCCTTTGTTGCCCTTTGCTCTCCTAGAATTCTGAGAGGGCTAGCCCAGGGTCTATTCCTTCTCAGATGTGAACTCTTTTCCCTACCCTCACAGTGGCGCTACTGTATCCGCTTGGAGAACCTTGACAGTGACGTGGTACAGCTCCGGGAGCGGCACTGGAGGATATTCAGTCTATCCGGCACCTTGGAGACAGTGCGAGGCCGAGGGGTGGTGGGCAGGGTGAGCATCTTTGGGCCAATAATGCCCAGTTTCTGGTCCTGCACAGCAGGCTTGGGAGCTTAATGCATGGTTTCCTCCTCCTCTGTGGTTAGGGACAGAGGCTCAGTGTGTGAAAGCGTCAGGCTGTTTGGGGTGAGAAGCCTCATAACCACCCATTCACAGATGAAGAGACTGAGACTGTTAAATTTAACTAGCCCATGGTCCTATAGCTAATAGTGGCAGGGCCTGGATTTGAATCCAAGTGAATCTGACATCAAAGCTTGTGGTTGTAGGCATAGTGCTTTTTAAAAAATTTGAATTGGGTGCTCGCTTTGGCAACACATATCCTTAAAAAAAAAAATGAAAAAACAAAACTGAATTGGAATGCCTTCAGGCGGCGCATGCACTCCCCACCACTCCTGGTTGTCCTTCCTCTGCCTCTTTATATGCGTACATCCTTTGCTGGTCCTTGAAGAGATCTGATTTTGCAATTCGTGTGCTACGCCACCGTCTCTTGAGAAATAAAGTCACGAGAAGGGGCCACATTCAACAAGCATTTATCGATGTTTGCAGGGACTTGGGGAAGCTGGGTGGGATAGTAAAAATAGGGCTTTGGAGTTAGTCTGGTTTCAAATGCCAGCTATGTTGTTTACTTGCTGCATAATTTTGGGCAAGTTATTTAACCAAAATCTCAGTTTCTTACCGCTAAAATGGGGATAACACCCATTATCTTATGATTATCACAAGACTTAAGTCAGCAGGAGTTTGCAGAACACCACATGGTGCCTGGCACTCAGGTACTCAGTGAACAGACGCTGGAAGAGGTATTTACAGAGTAGGCCCTAGTTACCTCAGACATTCAATCTGAGATTATCTTTCCCAAGGTCAGAATAAAAGGACCAGGTCAATGGCTGTGCTGTGGGAGGAGGTACTGGTCGAGTTATGGTGGGAGGCATGAGGGGGCATCCAGTCCTGACTGGCAGTCAGCATGGGGCCCCAGGGTACAGGGAGCTTGTCTGGCCTGACCTCTTTTGCCTGAACCCTCACAGGAACCAGTGTTATCGAAGGAGCAGCCTGCATTCCAGTATAGCAGCCATGTCTCCCTGCAAGCTTCCAGTGGGCACATGTGGTGAGTGAGCATGTGTTGGGGCGGGGGCAGCTCAACTTCACGGAGACTGCAGGTCAAAGTGAGAGGTCATAGCTGACAGTTAACTCTGGGCCAAGTGAAGTCCTGAGGTGGAGCCTTATCTCCTGTTCATTGTTGTGTGGGTGTCATCTGATTTTTTATGACTGTGTGTTTCCTACTTCCCTGTGGTTTTGTGGACTAAGGACTTACATCAGAGAGGTCTGGTGACTATTTTTTTTTTAAGAATGTACTTTATTTATTTATTTACTTTAATGGAGGTACTGGGGATTGACCCCAGGACCTTGTGCATGCTAAGTGTACACTCTACCACTGCACTATATCCCCACCCCCTGAAGTCTGGTGACTCTGATGCTGTACTGAGTTGCCCATGTAGTTGGTTTTTTGCCCTGCTGTTTCACTCCTTAACCTGAAAGTGTAGTTGGGTAGCTTATGCCTTATGCATCTAAGGACCAGTATCAGGACAGCTGTGTTTCTTATTTTCATATAGGGCCAGAATGGGCTCTCCAGACCTCAGGAGGGCCTTAGCCCTCATTCCCTCTAAACCAGCTTTTCTCTGACCTACAGGGGCACGTTCCGCTTCGAGAGGCCTGATGGTTCCCACTTTGATGTCCGGATCCCGCCTTTCTCCCTCGAAAGCAATAAAGATGAAAAGACACCACCTTCAGGCCTTCACTGGTAGGCCAGCTGAGGTCCTGAGTACCCAGCCTCAGCCCCTGAAGAACACCCCACGATTGCTGCAGAACTCTCTCCATCGTGGGCCACAGTGGGTCTCTTAATCCTTTGCGCCATTTGATTGTGGGGTTCTTGTTTTGGCGGGTGGAGTGTAACTGTTCTCTCCAGAAGACCCATGTAGGACTCCTCCAAGGCTGGCCTCCCCCATAAGCCCTGCCTGTGCTGTGTTCCAGTAAACCCTTCCATCAGGAACTCTGTGTTCAGCTGCCCAGGCCTGGAGGAGTTTCCTAGCCTGTCACACAAATTGTTTAGAATGTGAGGTTTGGTCAATAAACCAGTGCACGCTTGGCCATCCTCGCCATTTCTGCCCCCGGGGTCTCAGGCTCCCTTTTTGACCCGGCAGGGGCCCTTTGTTGCTTTCCTTACTGCCCTCCCAGGAAGCTGCCCCTTCTACTAGGTTGTTTCCTTCTTGAGATTGGGGGTCGGCTGACGTCTCCCAGGTCACCGTGCCTCTTAGCCAGTGGAATGGGGGCTGGACTGGATTCTTGTTCTTTTCTTTACCCTCTGCCAAGTGCAGAGCAGGAGGCCAGCATCAAGGTCAAAGGAGTGGCTTAGCTCTTAGTGCTGGCCAACTGTTGGCATCTCTGGCCTCCCTGGGCCTGGGAGAGGAGTGAGGCAAGCCTGTTGGGTTTCCCGGAGCAATGGGCTTGCCAGCTGTGGGCTCAAGTCTCAAGCCTCCAAGATCACAAATGCAGAAACTCAGCCAAGGAGCTTTGGTATGGACGGTGACCAAGCCAAGCTACTTTCTGAGCTTCTCACAGATCTCCAAGAGCCAGAGATAAAATGTGTTGCATTTTTGCCGATTCTTAGGATCCCTGCACACTACTGTAGTCATTGTTAAAGAGGTCATTTTGAATTAATATTAAATCTCAGTTCCAGTCCTTATTAATGTTGTCCTTAATCCTCCACCAGGGGGAGCCTGGGATGCAGGGCAACTGATTGCAATGGAACATGGGACCCAGCGAGAACATAATGAAGTCAGGTGATGAACTGAAATACAAGAATTACATCCAAGGCAGCAAGCTGACAAAGGTGTACTCACTGTAAGCACGGCTCTGTACTACTGCAGTGTAACACAATTTTATTAGAAATTAGTGTTTGTTTTCATCACCTATACTGAGCAACAAAGAATCGTAGTTACATGATAAAGAAGGAAGTTCTTTCATACCGGGACCTGTGCTGTCTTTCAGGCAGACCTCGGTGGGGTAACAGATTGATTAGAACCTAATACTGGTCCCTGTGGTTAACAGCAGGCTTCCAGTTTTCTCAGAAACTGACAAGAATGTTTGACCTTTATCCACACCTTTTGTTTACACTCCCTTTGGCTGCTCGGAGTTGAAAAATTCAAAACAGCCAAGAGCTGCTTTCTGAATGGGGCTGGGAAACTCAAAGAAAATCCCCAAACCTTTACACCACAGTCTGATTTAAAAAGCTAAGATTATTTCAGTGAGTTCAGTGTTAGTATTTTAAGACCAAGGAGATATTTTCAGTTGGAGGAGATAAGTGCCCAAGTCCCAGACTCTTGTGCTTTCTCAGGAAGAAAAGACTGCTCGCCACTGACACAGCTGAGGATCTGAATGTGAGAGCAGGAAAGAGAGGCCACGGGGCTGGGGAGGTCAGAGGACAAGCATTAAAATACCTCAGTGGGGAGCTGGGACTTTTGAGTATTAAAAGGCTTCAGGAAGGCAGCTGAAGAAACAGGCCAGTGGCCTCAGGCAGAAGCATTCCAGTCACTGTGGGAAAGCCACAAAGCCAGAGCCGGAATCTGGCCGAAGAAATGGATTTGTCTTCATTTTGTTACTCCAGTGAGGGCTGGAAGAACTGTTTGTAGCTGATCACTAAGGTGCCCCATCTGAAAGTCTTTATACATTCAAGACTGTGACAAGTGTAAAATGCCTGATTAGAGTCACTTCCTTCCCCACCCCCCATCATGTCATTTCAGGTCCTTGTGAGTGTCTGCTAACCCTGGCCTGGCATTTGCCCATAGGCTCTGTGGGGTCAGCCATGAGCAGCCACTTACCTATAGTAAGAGTAGTCAAGAGACATGAACTTGATAACCTATGTCCCTTCCTGACTGGGTACTGCTAAGTGGCTATGCTGCTTTGTTAGGCTGGTTGAACAGCTTCCCTAGCAGCATTCCTTTGGAAAAGAATTTGGATAAGCAGCCTCCCAAGGGCCAAGCCAAACAGAAGGGAATGAAAACCAAAGCCCTGAAGAGGATCTTGCACCCTTGCCCAAGAGCTGGTGCTTGGCATCTCCAAAAGAAAGCAAGCAAGCTTTCAAGGTGCTGAGGCTACTCACATCATCCTGTGTTCAGGGACTCACCACTGGACAGAACCACCGTCTCCAGCCAGGACACAAAACCAGTAGCATGGGTGGGAGGCAGGGTGTGTGTGTGGTGAAGCACAGCCGCCTCTACACAGGGCTGCCAGTAATGCGGGACTCTGCGTTTGCTGCCGCTACCTGACAGGCCTGCAGGGCCCGGTGCCTGTGGGCTCCACAGCCTCCCTGCTGCGGCTCTCGCTCCTGGCTGCAAGCAGCTCCTGGCCCCTGTGATGGCTCTTTGGCTTTACAGTAAGTGAAGACAGCATGCCTCGGAGCCAAGGGCAAGTGAATCAAAGAGAACAATCATGTTAGACCTTAGAGATCAGTATGTGAGGGTAAAATGTCCTTTCTCAAAGGGGTGTTATTAGGACCACAGGTCCTAACTTACACATCCTTTCCCCTCTGTGCTCTCTGTGCTGGCTGCTTGGCCGGTTTGGCAAAGCCAAAGCTGGTTAGTTTTTTTTTTTTTTCAATTATTGCTTCTTTCCCCTCCCTCAGATTGATTCTGCAGGGAAGAGGGGATTAGGATCAGAAAAAGATGACATGGGTCAGGGCAGAATACAAATCTCCTGAATAAAAGTACAAAGTGCTTTAAAGAAATAGATCCCAAAGGCATCAAAAGGGCCAAGGGTTCTGCTTTACTCAGGGTCCTGGAACCCTGGAGGGGTAGCAGAAATACCAAGTCCCCTCATTATTAGACTTAAAACTAGTCACTTCCTAGATTACTTTTTTAAAACCAAACTCATCAAGCCTATGCTTAAACACCTTAGGAAAAAAGGAGCCCCGTTTTCCTTAAATTGGGCCTCCACAGCACCAGAAGCCACCTTCCCCAGAGTGAACCCATTCCCCATGGGCCTCCACTGAGGCCTGAAGTAGCCCCTCAGTAGAGCAAAGGGACACTCAGCAAACGGCCAAGGGGATTGCTCTTGGCAGGGAGGTGGGCAGGGCAGTCCACTCAGCCCAGGGCAGCAGTGGCTCCCTGTGGCAGGAAGGGAGATGCTGAGCAAAGGGGCCAGGGCTCAGTCCTCCTGAAGTGCTGGGGGAGCAGAGCAAAGAAGCATGATCCCTCCCCTGCTCAGAACCTCTGACCTCCCAGGCAGGGCCTGTCATGCCTCTGGGTGCTGGAGCAGAGACCGAGCCAGCAGCAGCGTGGGGTGGCCAATCGGGCGGGGCTCCACAGGAGGGGAGACAGGGCATCCCATGCCCTGACTCCCGGAGGGTCTTGTCAGTCGCGATGGGCAGACTGGTGGCTGAGCTGCCGGTCATCATAAGTGCTGTAGCGCTTGACATGGATGCGGCGGACCCGGTCCCGTAGTTCAAAGGTCTCCTCGTCTTCACTGGGCGAAGCCTGGCTGCGGCTCCGGCTTGTGGCCTCCAACAAGGAGTTGTCAGGGACTCTGGGGGTCTCATAGAGTAGGACGTTGAGTGTTTCCTCATAGATACGGGCCTCTGGGAATTCCACCTGGGGAGGGGGATTGAGAGGAGCGAGTGGGGTTTCATCCCAAAGAGGGAGCAGCATGTCATGGCCTTCAGCCCTGGTGGACTCCATAAGGCCTCCAGAACTCTCTCAAGAGACACGGCTGTCTGTCTCTTGAGGGAGGACAGGGATCTCCCTCTGAAGGAGGTATGAGGAGATGTACTCTACAGACAGAAGGATGCAGAAGATTAGCATCCCTCCCTTGCCCCACCCAATCCCAGGCCAGTGGGATTGTGTAGAGGTTATGGCCTTGGCTCTGTGGTTGGGCCTAGGTATAAATTCAGCTCCACCACTTACTAGCTGTGGGGCTTTAGGCTTAACCGTGCTGTGCCTCAGTTTCCACATGTCAATATCTGCCTCAGAGTTATTGTGAACATTACATGAAAGACATAAAATGCTTAGCAGAGAGCCTGACACACAGTAAACAAACCAGCAAATACATAAATAAAAGCTTGGCTGTTTTGAGCCCTTCACATGCACACATTTCTCCCCCAGATGAGCTGCCCTCCCACCCCAGCAAAGCTCTGCTGTCTCTGAAACATGTTCATGGGGTGGGGGTGGGGAGGTAGCTATTCTCGAGGGAGGTACCACCTGCTTGCAGTCTAGGACGGAGTTAGCTGGTTTTGTGTTAACTGTCTCCTATCAAATCCCTCACATGCGCCTGACGCCGTGTGGTTACTGCAGAGGCTAAGCTGACTGACCCGAAACGCTCAACCAACGGGGGCCAGAGAGGAGATCTGAACAGCTATTTCTACTGCCCTGCCGTGCACTGCCTCTCCTGAGAACTGTCTCATTTTCATAGCAGCTCTTTTAAATTCATACTATCATTCCTGAGTTTTCAAATGAGGAAATAGAAGCTCAGACGGTTTAAAGGGCTTATCTAAAGTCAGAAAACTGATAAACGGCAGGGCCAGAATTCAATTCATGAATTGGGCCAACTCCAAAGACCTGGTCCTTCCCTGCTGGTCAAAAGCTCCGCCTCTCAGCTGACCAGAGCGGAGTTGTGTGCCATTCCCTAAACCTCTTTTATTAGCTTTGGTCCATGATCAGTACCTCACAGTGAGTTTGGGAAAGACGGCAAAATGTCACTTGGGGCCACCCCACCCATGCAGACAGAAGCCCCTTACCTTGGTCTGCTTCTTCTCCGTGGCGTACACGATGGAGGTGCAGCACACCTCTGCCAGCTTCCGACCCTGGCCATAGAAGGACCAGCAGCAGATCTCATCGCCGATGACGTCCTTGATGAAGAGCACTCGGCCGTTGAAGCGCAGGGAGAGCTTGTCGAACAGCTCGATGTTTTTCAGCAGGTGGTCATCAGAGTTGCTGAAAAACCGGTAAGGGCCCTCGGGCCTGGGTCCCAGCACAAGAGCAGGTGCTAGCTAGGCCCTCCTCTCCCCACCTCTCCCCTGTCATGCTTATGAGATAAGGAAAAGTCAAGATGCCAGAGGGACAGGGAGAGAAAGAGTCACAGGGCACCCTTTGGGTTTGGGGGCCTGCAAGGAAAAGGAGGTGGTTGGTTTTAAGTTAAAGTAGAGAAAACTAGGGGAGGGAGGTCTCCTCTCATCAGGCCCAGAAGGAAGGAGGTCACTGCCATCTCAGCAGAAGGACCCCTGCCCTTGCTGTGGGGGTGGCACTGGCAACATGCCTACCCACGAGGAGTCACTGAGAGGGTCTGGGTCTCCAAGCCTGCAGCCTCCTGCATATACCTAACTGGTCTGTTGAGAGGATACAGGGGGACAGGGGGACACTGGCCCAGCAGTGAAGTACAAAGGCCATCTTAGGAGGAGTCCCAGCCCCTTGGCTTCCCAGCCTTCCTCCACTCTGTAAGAGAATGCTGGGAAAACACCTGGCCTGCTGCCCGACATGACACATGTTAACAGAGTATTACATGTTCAGTCTCATCTATGTCCCAGCCAGGGCCCTGAATCGAGTTCCAAATGCCGTGGCTCTGATTTCCCTTCAAATCTCTGTCTCCTCCAGAGACCCAGACCCATGCTAACTGTGGTCAGCTGCCCACCTTCTGTCTGCTCGCCCCTTTCGGCTGCTTCTGCAGTCCTTCCCCAGGCAGTGCACCCCACCCCATCGCCAGGACACCTCCCTACCTGGTGTAAGAATACTTGTTGTTGCTTCTGTTGTACAGCAGCTTCACCACAGGCTGTGAGGGAGAGAGCATGAGGGCCAGGCAGGGGCCTGAGACCCGCAGCCCGCAGCCCACAGCCCTCTGAGATCCCTCAGAGGTCCCAATACCTTGGTGGAGGATTCAATGAGCCTCTCCTCTTCCTTCAGGGATGTGATGATGGGGATGTTGCACACAGGGTGGTAAGAGTCCTTCTTGTCCTGGGACACACACAGCCGAGAAGCTTTTTTGAAATCTTCTGTTTGCCAGGCTTAGCTGGGCTTTCCCCAGAAGCTGTCAGAGCCCCTCTGCACGGCCACCTCATGCTTGTTGAGGAGGCATCAGAGATCAGGAGGCCCCTGGCAACAGACACTTCCAGCTGGCACGCAGACCCCCATTTCCAGAAAACCTACAATCCAGATACCTAGGTATATAAACAAGAAGCTGGGCCTAGTCACACTGCCTGAGTCTGTCACCGAACAAACTGACTGGCTGCCAGCTTGCTCAGCCTGGGCGACACCTGGTGTGTCTAACTACGTCTGAACTCATCAATCATCCCTGCCATGCACCCTTCCATGACTGGACCATTCTGTCCTCGAAGGAGGGGGCCCATCCCGACCTCATCAACTTGCCCCAACTCCGCCTCCATACCTGCAGGGCAGTCTGGCACATGTTCACCAGCCCCTGAATGAGGTAATATTTTGCTTCAGCCATCAGTTCCTTGATTTCTTGCCGGTTCTGAGGGAGGATGATGGTGTCATCTCGAAGGTAATTCAAAATGGTGCCGAAGTGCTTTCCACATCGGTCTATGAGGATCCAGCCTAGGGATTCAGACGGGCCCCAGAGGGTTACTGTTTGCCTCCAGGTATGTCAGAGCAGGCCACAGGCAAAGGCCACCTGACGAGCCTGGTGGCAGGTGCTAAGAAGCACAGGAGCGTAAGGCCCACAGCATAGGAACAGATGTGGGAACAGAACCTCTAGCTCCCTTTTTACCCCTCCTCCCTGAAACCAAGAACATACTGTGGGAGACCCAGGCCCTCCAGGCTCTGTGGAGGCCCACAGAGATGTAAGCTCAAGAGCCCACAGGCCAGCTTCCTGGCAACAGAAACCACCAGGCCCTGCTTGCCTTCTGCCCACTGCCTGGTCACTATTGGTTCTAGTGAATATTTTTAAAGTATGCATCTTCTCCCTGGAAAACGTGTAAACACACAACATTCTATACGCAATTTCAGAGAATTCTGAAGCTCTACTAAGAACTCCAGGGGAAGGAGTCTTACACTAGGTGAACAGGAAAAATGGGCCTAGACCTGCCAGGCTTAAGCCCTGCCCTGAAGTCATTTCCTCAGGAGCCCCTCCTTCCCTCCCCAGCCCGCCTCACAAGTCCCAGTGCCTCACCTTCTTTGTCAGTCAGCACCTCCATGCGCCCACTGAACATGGCCTTGAGCATGGTGTCGTGCCGGGTTAGTGCCCGCACGGTGGTGTAGTACAGGGAACCACCCACGTTGAGCTGGACGTATTTGTTGCCCAGGCCTCCTCCCTTGAAGCCGCTTAGCTTGGGCTTGGCCCCTGAGGTTGGACACAGACAGGTATCCCCCGACATCTCCCGCTGCAGGTAGATCACCACACGGCAGGAGGTCGGCTTGGAAGGCTCCACCGTGGTGGAAGGGTCACAAGCGAGCGGCCAGTGGAGGCCAGAGCCTCATGCTCTCAGCGCTGTGAGCGGGAGATGGGAGAGAAGATAGGAGTCAGTGGAGGAGAGCCCTCAGCCAGGAGTGGGGAGGAAGAAAAAGACATTCCTGCCATGATATTCTTCATGGTACCAGGAACCAGGCCCGGGAGCACAGTCTCCCAGAACCTGGTGCTGGTCACCTCATCAGCCTTCCTGAGACTCAGCTGAGCTCTGGGTGGCAAGGCAAGCAAACCCTTAGAACTAGTCAGAGACAGCTCCAGGAACAGACTGGGCAGAGCAGAAGTCCTTATCCCGGGGAGCCACCAGTCAGCTTCCAGTTATTTTCTTCTCAAGGTTCCCAGGATCCAAGGCTTCCAGCCAAAAAGCCTACTGGGAATCCAGCCAGCCTAGGAGTTTCCCAGGAGTCCGAGGGACAGGATGCACTTCCTTTCTAATGATTCCAGGCTCAGGAGCAGCCTGCGCCAGTGCTTCCTTTGAACACCACCCAGAGTCTGGCTTCAGGAAGGCAAGTAAGAGCAGCCTCAGATGAGCATGGACTGAGCCAGGCTGGAGGGAGCCAGCCAGCATGCCCGGCAGAGGTTACCTTGGCTCCAGTCGGGGTTTCCTGACCTTACCCTGTTTTTGCATCATCCCTGTCCCAAGATCCTGAAATTGTCACCATTTTCAGGATAGAACAACTACAGGATGGCTATTTTTGCTCCTTTTTCCTGAGAGGGGGCCCAGCCTATCTCTTCCTTTCTTCCTGCCCAACAAGAATGGGGAGATAGGATTAGAAAAGACCAGATGATAAATCTACAAACAATTAAGTGATTTGGAAACTGAAACACTAACAGGAGTTCATAGAAGGGAGGCGTGAGGAAAGCAAAAGAGGGCAAAGCCAGGTCACCTCTTGTGATCTAGATTCTACATATGTTTTGGTTTTCTTAAGAATCACTAAAATCATTCATTGAAAGAAAAAAATAGCAAACATTCTTTCCATGTTTATTATGTTCCAGGTACTATTCTAGGCACTTAAAACATCTCAGCTCATTTAATTCATTCGGCAATAAAACAATATTGAGTGCCTAGCAGGTTAAGCAGTAGGGACAGATATGAAAAGATATTGTCCTTGCCTTCAAGGAGTTCAAAGAAGCATGATAATGTTAACAAGAATAAAAATAGTAACAGTTAGCATTTACTTGGCCCCTGCTTTGTGCCAGGTGCTGGGGATACAGAAGAGAACAAACAAGTCACAGCCTTGAGGAGCTTATGTTCTAGTGGGAAGACAGACAGCCAACAAGAAAATGAACAAATAAGCAGGCAATTCCAGAAGGTGAGAAATGTAATAAAGATGATAAAACAGAGATAAGAGGCACTAATTTGGATGGGGAGCTGGGGAAAGCCTCTTTGGGAAGGTGACATTCCAGCTGAGGTCTGAAAGAGCATTCCAGATAGACGGAAGAGTAAGTGCAAAGTTCCTCAGTCAGACACAAGTTTTAGGAACAGAAATAAGGCCAAGGTGGCTGGTGCATAGAAAGAAAGGGGAAGTTGGCTGGATGTAAAGTCAGGGAAAGCAGGGGCTGAATCATATTGAAGACTTTGGATTTTATACTAATTGTAAGAGTAATGGATTGTAGGGTTTGAACAGTGGAGTGATATGATCCGAGTTTACTCCGGCTGCTTTGTAGAGAATGGATTGTAAGGTTGCAGGAGAGCAAGTGGGAAGACCAGAGGAAGCAGTAGTCTAGGCAAGAAATGATGAAGGCTTGGACTACAGTGGTGGTTAATACAGAAAAAAAAGTGGAATGGCATCATTTCATCATCACACACGCAGACATTTACATCATCTCTAAGTGCACTGGTTTTCCCACGTTTACTGCTCGACTCTCCAAACAGTCCTCAGCACAATGCTATGCACATTTACAAGTATTTAATGTTAAAAATAAAGTATTTAATATGTCAGTCTGTTAGACTGAAATCCCTGCAAAGATTTAAGTAGGTCCTTGGGAAGAATGTCCAAGGAAGGGCCAGGGCAGGTGCTGTATGAAATACTGAATTCCTTTGGTGGTTGTCCAATGTGGGTAAGATGAGCCCCCACCAGCAGACTGCCCATTCAGTAAGTAAACTCGAATGGCATGAGATCATCTTACCTTCCTTTGCCCACCCCAAAGGAATAAATCCACCCCTTAAGAGGTTTTAACAAGTTCCCTATGTATTTTGTGTTTGACCCCAATTTCCCCAGGATCAAAGAAAGCACACATATGTATTCCACCAAAGCAAAGGAGCTCAAAGACTCTGTGGGCTACTAACAGGAAGGCAAGTCCAAGCTAATCTATTCCTTTTCTACAAAGCAATTGCTTTGAGCCCCTGGATGACGTCAGCTCAGATTCTGCCCGCTCAGATTCCGCCCAGGCCAATGGATTCCAGGAATCCTGTGGCAGGTGACGCCCCAGAAAGTAATTTCAGTGAGAATGAAGTTTCCACTGAGAGCCTCAGTGCTTTTCCTTCCGGACTTTGTGTGTGGATATTTGGGGATGCTAGGGGGTCATATCCTTGTCTCGTTCGGCGAAGCTAATGGGAATCCAAGCCGAATAAAGGGCAAACAACCATGGCGGTGTTATAAGGTGGGGTCCTAGGGAAAAAAGGTCCCAGGAATCCGTCACACTGGGGATGGGGAGGGCGGGAAGCGAGGAGGAGGAGCTGATCTTGGCTAGAGAGGGCGGATCTAGCAGAAATCCAAGGTGTAAATCTTGTGCTTCATCCAAAGGGTCTGGGGAAATTTAGAGACCCAACCTTTCTGTGGCCAGGGTAGAGTCTTCCCCAGCCCCTACACCACCTCACCACCGAGAAACCGAGACCGGCTCTAACACCCACCCCAAGGGGAGGATCTGAGCTCTCCACCTCCCTTCGCCGTCCCACGCCTTTTCCCCGAGACCGGATGGGGCTCTTTGCTCAGCCCGGGACCCGTCCATCCCTTCCCCTAGGGCACGGGCAGGCTCAGCTCTCACCCTGCCCGGTGGCGCCTCGTCTCAGCTGGGCTGCAAGTCGACACCGTGCCGCCCCTAGACTGTGGCCGCCTGCCTGCCAGCAATCCCAGGCGTAAACTCGCATCCTCCACCCACAGACCCTGCCCGCAGCCGGCCGGAGCCTGAGACTATAAGGCGGGGCAGTCCTAGCACCCAATCAGGCAGCAGGGAGGAGCCCCTGAGAGTATGTTGCGGTGATCGCACAGGTACTTCCGTCAGCCTTTCCGGGGCAAAGGCTTCTGGGTCTTGTAGGCAACCGTCCCTCCTCTCAGGCCTCTGTTTCCCAGCAGGCTCTGCGAGCTGGGCGGTGGTAAGTGCTTCCGGCGTCAGGAAGTGACGTTAGGGATAAACAGGTCTTGTATCCGTGGCAGCGGCTGAGGCAGACGAGCGGGGCGCTGGTTGCCGTGGACCAGGGAGAGGAGCTGCCTGCTGACGTCAGCCTGGACCACAGACGCTGCCGCTACGGGCTGGACAGGTAGGCCTTGACTCCGGGTCGGGAGACTTGGGCGGAGCCGGGGCGAAATGAGCCTGACAGGCCCGCGCCCTGCGGAAAAACAGTCTCAGGGCGAGAGAAACGTGGGAATTCCGCCCGGCTCTGGAAGCGGTTTTACCCCAGGCTTGGGCCTGGAACTTTACGGGCCGATACTCGCAAATGTTTTAGGAGGAAACTGCGGCTCAGATAAGTTCAAGGAGTTTATGTAGTGAAGACAGCCAGCTCTGTCACCCAGGCCTCCTTAACTTTCCCCACATTCTGCTGGTGGAGCCTGCTTGTTGCACCCAGCATGGATCCAGGGGAGCCGCCCTCATCTTCAGGGAGCTTAGTCTGGCTCTTGTGTCTAATATTCCTCAGTTGAGCGTGTGGTGGGAGTTGGCAGAGAATCCAGTAGGTGGCTGTGAACCCTCTCCCTCCACTTCTCCCGTCTGACCCATCTCCTTCAACCATCCCCTCCAACCATACAGCTGGCTCAAGCCAGGTACCCGGGAATCTTGCCTGACTCTCCTTCATTTCTCCCCAAATCCAGTCAGTCATCCTTTACTAAGTCCTATCAACTCGACTTACAAAACATCTCAAATCAGTACACTTCTTCAGTTCCAAGCCTTGGTCATTGTAATAGCCTGCCCTGTTTTCACAGTCATTCATTCCACAAACATTTGCTGAGTGCCAGTTTGGTGCAGGCACCATTCAAGATGCTAGAGTTACAGGGATGAACAAGATAGGTGTGGCCTCACCCTCTTGTTCCCTCCAACACATTCTCCATCCTGGGTCAGAGGGATTTCTCTAAAAGGTATATTCGTTTATGCCATTCTGCTGAGAATCTGCTGGCTGCCCATTAATTATACTTATCCAGGCTCATTACTGCTGCTTTCAGAACCTCCACCATCCAGCTCTAGCTTCCTCATCCTCTTCCGCTCTCTCCCTTGCTCAGTGTTTCAACCACACTGTACTTTTGTTCTTGGAATGTGTTAAATTTTTTTTTATAGCCTCAGCGTCTTCACACATGCTTTTCCTTCTGCCTGGAATACCTCCTTCTCCCTTCAACTTGACAAACTTCTGGGCATCCTTTAGGCCTCAGCTTAACCGTCACTTTCAGAAGGCTTTTATGTACAAATTTTTTGTAATTTTGTTTCCATGTGAGTTACTTCCTCCTGCTAAGGCTTCACATAGGACCGTGTGCTTTTCCTCATACTATTATCACTATTTGTGATTATTTGTGTACTGTCTGTCCAGATGTCAGAAACTAAAGCATTAAAGCATTTTCTTCACTACTCTATCCCCAGAGCAGGGACCCAGTAGATGTTGGTGAATAAATGCACACCCTCAGGGAGAGCAGTGGTAGTTGAACTGTATCTTTGTGCCCTCAGGTTATTTGAAGCTTTCTAGACCAACTGGTCTGATTAATCACCAGGTAGGTGTTAAATGCTCTGAGTATATGTGTAAATAGAACAAATAGGAAGACATATCTTTTTTAAAAGCCCAGTTATAAGGAACCTCTGGATGATTAAAATGTTTCAAAAAGCCTATTTATTTGTGTGGACTCTAGTGAGGCCAAAGGCTCTGGGCCAGTCATTCACAGCCAGGTATGCATTAGTTGGCCCACACAGTGTTGAAAGTGGGTTTTTTTTTCTTACTTAAAATTTTTGAATTAGATACTTTCCTTTAAAAATCAGATTACATATATAAATCTGGATTTGTAGTCTTCTTGAAAATCAGTTCTGGCAACAGTGGGACTTAATTCTTTGAAACCATTGCTCTTCCTATGGTATACCAACCTTAGGCAGTCACTCTCAGAATCACCCTTTTCATAACAGAACTTCTCTAAGGAAGCTGGAAGGGAAACAGGTGAGGCTGAGGGAGGTGGGAGGGAAGGGCTCAGGGCCAGGTTGCTGTAGGCTTTGGAACACCTGGGGTTTTGGAATTGGTATAGCAGCCAAGACAGAGCATGTGCTCCCTTAGAGAGAGAGAGGGAGAGAGGGAGGGAGAGGGAGAGAATGAATGAGGTTTGAGGATGAGGATGAGGATGAGTTTTTCAGTGTTTCCTTCCCAGAATTGAGGCATTCTTTGGACCAGGAATGCAAGGTGACCTGGGAAAAGAAATCTCTGTTGGTTCTTTTGGCCTACAGAGAAAAACCCAAACTCTTTAGCTTAGCACACAGGGTCTTTTTGATCCGGCTCCATCCGACCTTTCCAGCTTCATCTGTCTTCTTTGCAGGATAGGCCCTTCCAGTGGCTTCAGACTCTTGTCCAGGCTGTTTTCTCAGCTTGGAATGCCTTTCCCTGGCCTTTTTACTTGGTGTGTCCTTGCTGATACTTCATTCTGTTTTGTGCTTTCTGCTAGAAAGACACTGACCCAAGCTTTGGGTCCCAGTTCAGGCACGTGTACCTGTGGCATACATTTTGGGTAGTATTCTTACACTTGGCTTCTTACTTTCTTAAATCTAATTTGTAATTCACTCACATTTTCTCTTTTACTTGCTTTTTGTGTTGTTCCAGTACTGTATCTGAAAAGCTTTTTCATGTCCTTTGGATACATTAATGGGGATAAATAAATAGGCTTATGGCTCACAACTTAGTTGACATGTCAACTCCCTCACCCTAAGTTAACTGCTGTGTTCTCCTCCAGCGCTTTGGTGATATTTCTGTAAAGCACTTAACAGTATAATTTTTCAGTGTACATGTCTGTCTTCCTCCAGCTGAACTCTGTGCTCCTCCAGGGCGGGCACCACGTGCACTCATCTTTACCCCCAGCATCTAGCAGTGTTGGCATGTAGTAGGCACTCAAGAAATGTGTGTTGAATGAACGATGCCTGTGACAAGCAGCTGGACTTTATTCTTTCCTGACCCTTGCTCCTATGACACACCTCCTCCTGGCTCCCCCTTCAAAGCAGAACTTCTCTTCTCTAGGGAAGCTGGAGGGAAACAGGTGAGGCTCAGAGAGGCGGAGGCAGAGGGTGGGGGGAGCCTTTGGAACACCTGGGTTTTTGGCATTGGTGTCCGGGGCCAGGAGTGGGGCTGGGCTGGAAGCATGCATTTCCTTGGGTGGCTGGGAAGTGATCTGGGATTGGGGCTGGTTTCTTTACAGCCATGGCCAAGGACATCCTGGGTGAAGCACGGCTGCACTTTGATGAGCTGAACAAGCTGCGGGTGTTGGACCCAGAGGTTACTCAGCAGACCGTAGAGCTCAAGGAAGAGTGCAAGGACTTTGTGGACAGTGAGTGTCATTTGGGGAGACAGGGTACCGCTCAGCTTTGAGCTGTTCTGGCTGTGTCTTCCTCTTCACCCCACCAGCTGACTGCAGCTCTTGGCCCTGCCACAGTGGAGCTGCTGGCTCCCAGGAGGTTGAGCCTGGCCTTTGTGAATTCTCATGTGCTACCTGCTTTGCCTACTCTCTTCTTATGCTCTCTTGTAGGTCCAGAGCACTAGTCAAAACAAATACTGTGATGGGGAGAGATGAGTGTTTATTTAGATATACCATCTCAGGAACCTTAAACTTCATGCGGGCAGGACCATGGCTTACAGATGGGAAATAGTTATATATTCATAATTTGATTTCTTGGGAGAAATACTGTTCTCAGTAGCAGACTTGCCATTGTTTGGAATGAAAGTTGATTGACTGGAGTTTCTACAGGCAGTTCAAAAGACTCAAATAGGTCTTTTTTTTTTTTTTTTTAAGCTGGATACTCGGGATACCTCCTGTCCCAGCAGCCAAATAAGCCCAGTGGCAGTGAATATAGAGCAGATTGAGCTAGAGCAGGGATTTCTGGGCCTTCTGGGAGCTCCATTCTATAGGCTGTGGAGAGAGCTTGACTGGCAAAAGGTGGTGTTGGTGCTCCCACCAGTCTTCTGATTGCTCTGTTCATGCTGTTCTACCATTTGGGCCTTAGTTTACTCTTCAGTAATGTGGAATTCCACCGTACCCAAGGAAATTGAAAAAAGCAAATGGGAGATTAGGTCCTTAAATGCTTTGAGCTTTTTGTTAGCTCTGGGTACAGGCAGAAAGCTCCCACCCCAACATTAACTGAAATCTGTTGTCTTATCTGTGGCTGTCTAGAGGCAGCATTCCTGTCCTGAGTCAGTCCATTCATGAACATGGCCCTTTGTGCTTCCTGTCACTCCTGGGAAAGCAGGATGGGTTCCCTCCAGAATACTGGCCCACCAGGAGCCTAGTCTGAGCTAACAGCTACTGGCTGGCTCAGTGGGGACTCAGGGTCCACCTATGCCCCAGTCCCGCTCTGGGCACCTGGCCACCCTTCTCTAGGTTTGGACCAAGGCTGGTAGACACTAAGCTTTTTTGACACAAATTAGGAGGGGCACTTTGCTCTGTCTTTTCTCTGTAAGGGAATGCTGAGGGAGAATGGTGATGCTGAGAAAATAAAACTTTTTTTTGTCCTTCCCCCAAAAGAAATTGGCCAGTTTCAGAAAATAGTTGGTGGTTTAATTGAGCTTGTTGACCAACTTGCAAAAGAAGCAGAAAATGAGAAGATGAAGGTAAGATCAGCATATGTTTTGTCCAAATCTTGGCCTGAAACCCTAGCCTCTCATCCTTCTGCCTTTTATTTTTTTGGGGTGGGGATTGTTTTATTTAATTAAAATAAGATTTTAAATACCAAGTTCTGTACAAATATTGAATTATGCTGTATACCTGAAACTAACATGTCAACTGTACCTCAATTAAAAAGTAAGTAATTCTTGGTCCAATTAACCTATTTTTTAAAAATAGTTTTATTGAGGCTTGATTTTTATACAAGACTCATCTATTTTTAAGTGTGTAATGCAGTGATTTTTAGTAGTAGTATAGAGGTGTGCAACCATTACCACAGTAGTTTTAGAACATTTTCATCACCCAAAACCATTCCTTTCTGCCTCTTTGCATTCAGTACCTTCTTGTATTCCCAGCTCCAGGTGGTCATTAATCAGTGTTCATCTCTAGATTTGCCGTTTCTGAACCTTTCACATAAATGCAGTTGTACAGTATATATAGTCTTTGTGCTTCTGGATTCCGTTGTGTTAAATTTTTGAAGTTCATCCATGTTGTAGCATATATCAGTAGATTGTTCTTTTTCACTGCTGAACTAATATTCCGTTGTATGAATTTATTACATTTTGTTTATCCATTCACTGGTTGATCAGTTAACCTACTATTGAACTCATATGCCAGGATACTTTCAGTCATTGTTTCCTTTAATCTTTTTTTTTCCCTTGGTGTGGGGGGGTAATTAGGTTATTAGGTTTTATTTGTTTTTTAAATGGAGGTGCTGGGGACTGGACCCAGGACCTCGTGCATGCTAAGCATACAATCTACCACTGAGCTATGCCTTCCCCTCTAGTTTCCTTTAATCTTCATATCATCACTGAGATAAGTGGTTTATCCTCATTTTGTAAATGAAGGTGTGCAGTGTGGGTGACTCGGCAAAGGACACAGGCTAAATGGCTCTGGGGGTGCTCCTAGGTCTGCCTCAGAGCTGCAGTCTAGTTCTCACTGGGCGCTGTGGGATCATGAGGTTAAACTTCCTTCTGACTTACTGAAAGCTCTGGGGCTCAACCTTTCCCCTGCTGGGCACTGAAATAGCCCCCAAGTGTCCCTTCCCCAGTTGAGGAGTTAATGCTGAAGATGTTTTTAGTGAAGCCATGGCCTTCTTTGGCAACACTGTTCTTCTAGGCCATTGGTGCTCGGAACTTGCTCAAATCTATAGCAAAGCAGAGAGAAGCCCAACAGCAGCAACTGCAGGCACTCATAGCAGAAAAGAAAATGCAGCTTGAAAGGTAAGAATTTTTGATGTAAAGCAAGTTCTTGACTCAACTGTGATTTTATTTTTCCTTCTTGAACGGTCACCTTGTCCGTATTCTTCATCATCGTTCTCCCGGGAATAGTCTTGTCATCCTGATTTGAAGATTTTAAAAATAAAATTACATTTGATGGGAAGAAAATTTAATTTCAAACAACCTCTAGTTTGAGGGCATGAAAGCACAGGTAGTGTCTAGAGTTGGCTGGCTCTCTGAAAGGAAGACTCTCAGGGCTAGAGGCTTTCCAAGGGTGGCCCCAGGTAGGGCATTGCCTCTTACTTTTTTCTTTCTTGCCCTCACTAACTTCATTTTGAGCTCACACCATTTCTTGGAATCATCTAAATCACCCATTCTTCTGTAGAAGAATTAAGTCCATGGTTTATTTCATCCATTTTTCTAACAATTTTGTTTTTCAGGTATCGGGTTGAATATGAAGCTTTGTGTAAAGTAGAAGCAGAACAAAATGAATTTATTGACCAATTTATTTTTCAGAAATGAACTGAAAACTTCATTTTGTAGCAGGAGGGCAAAAAAGAAAAAAGAAAAAAAAAACCCATAACCCCAAATCAAAAAACCCTCTGTACCATTCCAGTGACTTATGACCCAGTGTGTTGTATAAGGTGTGTGAAGAATGCAGCAATAATAAATCAAATCTGAGGGAGCTTTTTTCAGATGTCAGTGCATCTGCAGGTGAACACCCAGTGGCCATGGTGGTCCAGGTCCTCACCTCTTGCATTCTCAGTCTGAACTGAGCAGTATGTGAACTTTTTTTTTCTTGGTAAATTTACAAAGCTTTGGAAGCAATAAATTATTATTTTCAAATGGCTTGATCTACCTCTTTTCCTGATACCCTTGAAATGTACAGTTAACCCTTTATAAGAGAACCCTGCCCTCCCTAGCCCCTAGTCCACAAAATAAACCAGGCAGTGGTCAGCAGCTACTTTTATTTGGACCAGACACACGAGTCAGATGATACTCCCAACAATCAGACCGTTAGGGCTTCTAAACCAAACAAAGAGAGGTAACTAACCAGGACCAGTGCCTACCATTTTCCACGTGCGTTCAGTCTTATTTTTTGAGTTGGCCTTGAGTACAAATTTAGAGAAAGCTAATAAAATACCAAATACTAATGTGAAGAGAATCTATATGCACACATTGGACCTGTCATGCCCAGCCCCGTCCCCTTTGGGAACAAGACAGGAAGGAATTCTTAAAACTATTAGGATGGATGAAGTTATTCAGTAAGAAGCACATCTCCAGATCAGGTTTTGAGACATCAGACCTCAGAGTAAAGCAACTTATGTTAGGTGGTCTCTAAAAAGTAACAGAAGACTAAGGTCTGGAAAGAGGATAAACAAGGAGACTAAAAAAGTCTCTTCTTGGTTACGAGAGCTGGAGCTGCGGATCAAGCCTGATCAAGATGACAACCTCCCCAAAGCACTGAGACTTCATGGCAGAGCTCATGGGGAAAAAACCAGTGGGAAACCTGGCCGGGATTGGTGAAGTCCTGGGCAAGAAGCTGGAGAAAAGAGGCTTTGAAAAGGCCTATATGGTCCTTGGTCAGTTCTGGTTCTAAAGAAAGACGAAGACCTCTTCTGGGAATGGCTGAAGGACACGTGCGGCGCCAACGCCAAGCAGTCTCAGGACTGCTTCGGGTGCCTTCAAGAGTGGTGCGATGCCTTCTTGTGATGCTCTCTGGGGAGACCCCGATCCCTAGCCCCAGTATTGAGTCTCCAGAGTTTGCAGTCAAGTGAGGACTCCTCCGTCTTCTACAAAGGAAAAGATTGCTGTTGTGGTCCACACCTCCAATGCACTCCAGGGTCCTTTGGGAGTTCTCTCCCATCACCATTTCAACTTTTTTGGAGTTCTCACTCTTGCTTGCATTTCCCTTCTCTCCCTGCCAATTTCATGTCAGCAATTACCAGCTTTTCTGAGTGGATGCCTGGTTCCTTCCTTCACACTCACCCTCACCTCTGGTCTGTTTTATGCCATTTGGTCCTCTTTTTGGCAGAACAGTTACTGTTCTTGTAAAATTTTTTAAATCAATAAAGACAGTGGCTGTCAAAAAAAAAATCTCTTCTTGTGGGATGACCTTTTTAAGACAAATAATACACCTTCTAGTCTGACCCATTTCTGACTTAGAGTCTCACTAGGGTTGAACCTTAAGGAAAACTAAGTTTAAACCTCTTATAGACTATCTCCCCACCACCTAGGAGTGGGGGCAAGAAAACAGTTTTTAGTGAATAGTAAAGAGGCATAATTTCAAACTTAAAAATGGCCTGAAACATCCCACTGTTCATTTTGCTGATTCGCGACATGCTGTAGACCCCGGAGTCAAGGTTTAGTCACACGTAGGTCAGAAAAGTCATGATACATGCCAAGTAGGCCATGTTTCTTGGAAGTTTATCTAGTTTCTGGTCTGGTCCTGCCTTTAGTAATCCTGCAAGGGAACTTGGGCACACAGCAAGTCCTTTGGCACCACTTCCCCATAACCTGGCCCACACCCTCTGCCTGTCCTCAGGTGATGGGTCTGTTTGTGCCAGTGCCCTTGGAAGGTGACAGTTTGATATGCCTCCTGCTGGTGTCTTGCTCCTGTGTGTTGCTGCTGGTGTGTTTCAAATACTATTGAAAACCTGGGTTCTGAGCAGTTTTCCTGGTACAGCGTCAACAGGAAACTGCCCTGTGGGCATCTCTTCCTGGGGCCCATGGTTCTCATTTTTTCTTTATTTTCTCCTTGTAGTAGGGGTTCCGCAACAGGAAAAGCAGAAGTATAAGAGGGATGAGAAAATAGGGAGTGTAGACAGATACAAGGAATAGTCGTTCGTGGAAAGTCTTAGGTCCTAGTCCTTTGAAACAACTGGCTTTGGAGAAGTCCTCGAATAGAAACGTGGAGAGGATTGGTATCAGAGTTGTCATGGTGTGCACCGAGTAGATGACTGCAGGGGTGCGGATCCACCTACAGCCTCCTGAGGTCGTTGTGGGGGGAGAGAGAGAGAGAAGCGTCAGGTCTGCTCGTGACTCCAGGGATGCCCACAACATCCTTCCCCATCTCTGCCTGCTCCTTCAGCTGAATCATTCTACCTCCATTTCCAAGTGGAAACCAATGGAAAGCTGGATGCGTTATAATAGTGCCTAACATGCAAACTTACATGACAGCTGGAGGCCTAGCGCACTGACTGCCAAAGAACTAAGGGTGGGGGCTGGAATTTAATTCAGAAAAACTGGGGCAGTAAAATGGCCATTACCAGTTAAACCTGGTTGGTCTACAGTGCAATGGTGCTGGGGGCAGACGTGCCAGCATCATCTGTTAAGTAATTATATAGCGGTGAGAGGGATCAACAGATTCTGCTGAGAGAGGACTGGGGGGCTCCAGTGGGACATAAGCTGTACAAGCTTGGTTACCATGAACACTGGTATAGCTGCCTTCTTTATAAAAGCATTAGTCTTATGGGACACTTAAGGATAATTTTTAAATGAGATGTTGAACCATTTAGGGATTAGCTTAATGCTACTGCTTACAATCCAGTATGATACTCCCAAAGCAGAAAAATAAAAGCCAATAATAATAATAATAAATTTTGTAGGGGGAAAAACAATAAAAAGAAACAAGTTCAATCTTTAAAGTAGCCTCAGGTTTCATGTGTAAGAGGTTTCTAGTCGACTGAGGCAGCCCTGCAGCCCAGCTGACCAGACACTAGCCTGAGCCACATTAACGTCTCTTAACAAGATCTACCCTGGCCATTCCCAGCAGATTGTCTGTCTCCTTCCAGGGACCACTCCCCACTCCCAAAAGATTTCTGGCACCTGGTTTCAGGGCAAAAATGGGATCTCCCCACCATTTACCAACCTTTGAAGAAAGCATATGTTGCAATGGGGAAGAAAGGCAGCTGAAACACCAGCTCGCAGAACAGGAAAGACTTAAACCACATTGGCGGGTTCTGCAGCAGAGGGTCTTTGAACTCCTCAGTGTACCACTGCCGCAGGTTTCTCAGCTGGGAAAAGAGCACGCACGATGAATATGGCCACCGGGCAGTACAGGCGTCCCCAGCTCCAACCCACTGGAAGAGTCATTCATTACCCAGGCCCCTTGGCAGCAGACAGCACACCCAGCTGGCTTTTGTGCTACCCAGCGTTTGTCAAGAGCAACAGTATCTGGCACTTAGTAGGCTCTTAGTTTGCTGAACAAATACATGGATGTGACTTATCTGCCAACATCATTCTTCATAAAGAAATGACATGTGAAAACCATCCTGATATTTGTTCTTTCACAATAGCAACTGCACAGCAAACTCCAAGGGCCAGATTGCCTCAAATACAGAAATGAATTTCCTCATCTTTTTTGGGGATGGGATGGGAGGGAGGTAAATCTCTGTGAAAACCTCTGTGAAGATGCAATTTTAGGCAATTTGAATAATCCCCAAATCTCAAGTTCCTCATCATTCTTAACCCCCCTAGTTCTAATTTATTTTCTCCTTTTAGGAGACCAGTAGGATATTTGTAGAAGAACAAACTCTCCCCTATACCATAAACTATGTAGCTTCTAGGTTATGTCAAGGCTGGAGAGTTAGTGGTCTCAGTTCTAGCTTGGGCCCCACTTTCATAATTACACTGTCATATCAAAAGATACAGATCCATGTCGATGTGGCTACAGGCAGGGGAAGGAAGCGGGAGAATTTGAGGCTGCCTAGTTTGTGCTCTTTTATGAGCCCAAAGCCTCCATACCATGTAGACTACTGTTAACCTCCTGGAGACAGCATCTTAACACACCTGCCTTCAAAGCCAAATATATGTCTTGTTATTATGATAAATCAAGATAACTCCCAAGATAAGAATTTGGCTTGCAATGGAAAATTCAAAAATATTTTTCCTGCTAATTTTTCATCTAAAGATAAAGGCTCACAGTTGTGAAATACAAGCCTCTTTGCTGTGAGTGAGCTTTAAGCAAATATCCAGAAACCAACATTCTGTTAGCATAATATTAATTACAAAAAGGCCTTAGCTAGATAACCAATTTATTGACCAAATGATCTTTAATTTGTATTTGACTTGAAATTTAAATTCACAGCAATATCCTTAGCTTCTTCCTAAGCACTTTTCAGGATGGTAATGTGAAAATATTCACAAAGGTTAAGTCATGGCACCTCTCCTGGGCTCTAGTTCCATACCTGTAAAACAAGTGACTTGGACTAAATGTTTCTTAAGATCCTTTTTGCTTTCTAGATTTACTTAAAACAATTACTTAAAATTTACTGTAAAAAATCCTGGAAGGAAGGAACTATTTTAAAAGATATACTGCAGAATTAAATAGGCATTCTGGTTCATTTGAACTTCATTTTCTATTTAATTTGTATACATTCTCTCTGATCCACCCATTTCATAAATCTAGGCAGATTTGTACAACAGTGTAATTTCTAAGGGCTGCAGGATGATATTAGCAAAATTTACAATCCAAGTGACCCTTGAACAACACGGGTTTGAACTGCACAGTTCCACTTACATGCAGATTTTTTTCAACAGTAAATACTACAGTACTTTACAGTACAGTACTGTGG